AATTCTTCGTGATATCAAACAATTGGAAAATAATTGGCGAACAGGAAATTTTCAATTAGAAAAAATTCAATGTCGTTCACAAAGCAGCAAAGGCGTTTATTGTCTACAATACGATGATGAAAAGATTATTAGTGGTCTTCGTGATAACACAATTAAGATTTGGGATAGGAAGTCACTGGAATGCATTCAAGTATTAACAGGACATAATGGAAGTGTTTTGTGCTTACAGTATGATGAAAAAGTGATCGTGACTGGTTCGTCGGACTCGACTGTTCGTGTATGGAATGTTAAAACTGGCGAATTGATGAATACATTACTACATCATTGTGAAGCGGTTCTTCATCTTCGATTTATCAATGGAACAATGGTGACATGTTCGAAAGATCGTTCGATTGCTGTGTGGCAAATGAATTCACCAACTGATATATCCATACGTCGTGTCTTAGTTGGACATCGTGCTGCTGTCAATGTGGTCGATTTCGATGATAAGTATATTGTCAGTGCAAGTGGTGATCGCACAATCAAAGTTTGGGTACGGGTGATCGAAAGATGTTGTCGATTTTCTCAACTAAACTCTCTTCTTTGAAGGACACAACAACTTGTGAATTTGTTCGCACACTTCTTGGACATAAACGTGGTATTGCTTGTCTACAATATCGAGACAAAATCGTCGTCAGTGGATCTTCAGATAACACGATACGAGTAAGATTCGTTGAACTTCTCCCTGGAAGACCAACATTTCAATTCTCTGCTTCTTTCAGGTTTGGGATATCGAATGTGGTGCTTGTTTACGTATTCTCGAAGGACACGACGAACTAGTCCGATGCATTCGCTTCGATTCCAAACGCATTGTATCGGGTGCATATGATGGCAAAATTAAAGTCTGGGATTTACAAGCAGCACTTGATCCACGCTCACAAGCATCATCACTGTGTATAAAAACCTTATCTGAACACACGGGTCGTGTATTTCGTCTTCAATTCGATGAATTTCAAATCGTTTCGAGTTCACATGATGACACTATACTTTGCTTTAATTTTCTTCAACCAGAATCGTCCACATTGGCACTTCAGCAGAACTCGTCGCCCGTTCTCAGTCGATGTCAAATTCAAACAACAAACTTTCCTCCATCAACGACGACTATGGGATCATCAGATAACGACCATACTAATGAACCAGCATCAAATGTGTTTCAAAGTCAAGCTTCTGTTCAATCAACGATATCATCCTCGTCTGGCTCGGGAAAATAAAAATCTTGATTTCACAATGCGCGATGTTCTTTTTCCTTTCTCTTTTTTTTCTGAATATAGAATCCGTTCTTTGAATACTCGAGTTTGGTTTCTCTATTTTCTTTCCTTCGAATTACGCGCTATACCTTGTGTCCGTCGTGAAAATACCCTCTACGTGTCTGATATATCTCTTTGTTCATTGTCTCTTGTCTATATATTGATATACATATATGTATTCGATCGAGAAAATACGATGCATGTGTGTATATTCTGTTGTTATTATTATGATTATTTTTTGTTTATCTTGGTCTCAGTTGATTATTGTCGAAAATCAACAGTAACTATGTATTTTTTTACGCAAGAAAATATCACGAAAGAAGGAAGAAATAATTAATGGATTTACGTCATTACGGTGATGGAATCGGGCGACATCTATAGTCAACAAATAAAACTTTGAGATGAATCCCTTTCAATCACTATAGTAGAAGATAATTTCTGATGGAATATAATCGAAGAAAGACTATTGAAAGAGATTCTTCATTTTATTGGAATCAGTTGAGTTAAGACAAGAAATCCGTTTGATTGGCCAAATGCACACAACCAGTGATAGGATGGATGTTAATCAAAAAAAAAAGAAAACAAGAGATCCATTTTCAATAAAGCTAATATTGTTGAAGAGAGTCTAGATCGAATACATGTTTATTTTGATTTCGATTCGTTGATTTTAGATGATATACCATCAGACGACGAGTTCGATGTTGTGTATTATATCGTCGTTCGTTTCAAATTTCGTCTTATCAATTACAGAAGTGTATGAAATTCTACCAGGACATTTTCAGTTTGTCTGTCTGTCTGTCTGTAAGTGATTCAAACTCGACGTTAAAGAAACAACATCTACTTAAGTAACTTCAAAGCGTTTCATGTGCCTAAACATTTCTATTTTTCTTCTTTGTCAATAAGAAGAATCATCGTGTATTCTAATTGCTTTACCTTAGGGGACGTCATTTAGATCTTTTTCATCGATAGAAAAATAATATTTGAATAGATGATCGTGTCTACATAGTATAATTAGATCTATTTAAAGATCACATCTTTCGGAGACTTACTTCAGATATTATTAACGTTCGACTTGTCATTAATAGTTGGACTGAATATTTTCATAAGAACCATCGAGTGTCGCGAGAGGAAATCGTCGTCAAATTATAACTTTTGTGTTCCTTTTAGACCCGAAGGCCAACTGAAAATCTACACCTTTTGTGTGCATCAGTGAATAAAAACACCATTATACTTCTAGAAAGGAATATAAATGTATACTTCTGGCTTTTTCCCTTCTAGATAATTCCATCCAGGTTCGAAGGTTAGTAATAACCAAGTCTAGCGAGTGTGATATACAATTCTGATTAATGTGAGTTAGATGGAATGCATCAATGTTCGGAAAAACCTGCTTTTGATAAATGCTGATATCTGATGAACAAATGATATGTACATCTGACGAGAGAAGGAGAAAAATTACATCATATAAACAACAGTTTCTACCCTGTGATGTTTCCAATATGTAGAGAAGGAGAATGATAGATGTGGATGGCCTTGTTGAAGAGTTTAATATGTCTTAAGATGAAGTTTTAATTCGAATATCATCTTCGTATATTTGAAGTCACGCAATTGTTTAATTGTTCTTTCTTTCCTCTCTCCGATGAACATATTCCTTTCTTCTTTCCTTTTTCACCATCGTATACAGATGTGAATAGCTATGAAAGTCGGATGTAGTTAATGAGAACGACATAACCAAGGTCTTGACGTGTCAATCCCATGAGAATATAAATGAATAAGAAAATCATCTCTTTGGAAATATTCTCTCTATCTTTCTTCGTGACAATGATTGATCTTTTTCCAATAGTTGATTTCCCCTCGAGCATATGATTCTCGTTTTGAAGATTTAAGTGGTATATTTATTTGTGTATTTTTCTAGATGAATGAATTCTATTCATCAATTACTATTATCCATTCCTTTCACTTGTCATCGCGTCTCATGAGCAAGAACAGCTGCCAACACTACGATTCCATCGGTATTTAATCCAACATCATTATCGGACACAATGAACACCAGAGAATAGAGAGAGAGAAAGAAAAAAAGAACGAGAGAACGAGAGAAAAAGAGATGTCTTCTAGATGAACTCGACACATTTACTCCATGTGGACATTTTCTTTCGTGGTTATTCTGGTAAGTTAAATAAAGATCGAGTGAGAGAGACACTAGACTAGAACACCTTGTTCCAATGAGTACGAAACGGGAAAAAAAGTAATTAGTGTCAATCAAAATGTCGCTAACAAAAGAAGAGAAAACTTTTCCTAGTCGACACAAGTGTATTTCATTAATAGAACGGAAGTTGCTGTCTAACTGAATGTTCCCATCCTTTGAAAATTGACATCGAGAGAAGAAGAAAAGAAAACCGACCTAATCAAACTATTTCTGTATACATAACAAATCTGGTTTGAATGAACAAGAAAAAAAGATGCATACATATGCAATCGAATAAGTAAACATGTCCCTTTCTTTCTCAAGTATGTATATGTGACAAATCGAGTAGCAGATGTCGAGTGCTCAGAGTACAACGAGAGAAGCAACGATCGATGATTATTACACGTTGTGAGAATTATAGTTGATGTGTTGTGTATCACATTGACATTTTTATTGTGATCGAAGTTTTTGTATTAGAATTCTTTTCTCTTACCCTTTCATTTGCAGTCATTATTTTATATATGAGAAAAAAAAGTATAGATTAGGTGTTAGTTTTTAATCGGAGATATGATGTAAAAGTTTGTCGACTGAGAAAATGATTTGCATTGTGTGCGAATGAATTTATTTTCTCTCCGATGGTGGTCGTGTCGGCGGACAGAGCAGCCGTTCATCATCATCATTATCATGTAATATAATGATAGACGCAAGGTAGAACGAACTAATAGTATAAACACACCAGGAGACGAAAGCTGATCGAGCCGATTCTATTTCTTTGTGCAATTGCTCATCACTTGATTTTCCGCCATCGGTAAATATGAAATCACTAACGATAAGTAGATTGATTCCGTGTAACTATTTCCTATGTGTGTGTGTGTATGTATGTGAAGGTCTTTCTGTTTCTTACTGACGTAAGAAAATATATGATCCATCTTTATTATCATGAACGTGTGGGTCAGTAAGTCAAGATAAGTATCATCCATTTAGACATCAAACGTTGTGATTTCATTCAGCAATAAGAAATCTGTCAGATTTAGTGATCGATCGATATATAATCACAGTGACACTTATCCAGCTGTGTTCTGAACGTCTCGATGTATCGCTCAGTATTATTTGCAATCATAAGGTTAATGATAGATCTCGCTAGGTTCAGAAGATATACGACCTTGTCCAGTTCGAATGTATGCCTGTCATATTTAATTTCTTCGTTGTTTCACTCGTTATGTTAATTCCCCCAGAGAGATCTACTAGTTCATCGTGAGAAAGACAAGTGAAAAGAAAAGAAATTTTTATGCTTGGACATCAATTGCTAGACAATTAATTGTGATGGAATTGAAGATGCTTGCATTTTTTCTCTTCTTCTTCCTATTCGATTATTATAATTGCTAAGTATATGTCTATTGTAGATAAGTAATTGATCTCTTCTATTGTTAATCACATTAAGCATTAAATATTTAAGTCTTAGGCTGCTCGTGGCCACTAGACAAAATATAATGTGATATGGCCGAAAGTTGTTCGGCGACATTATCGAGGACATGCGTATTGTTGTTACACATCATATCATTGCTATTGTTGGATTAATTCTCCTAATCAACATCGCGTTTGTTAAACTGGATAGTACTAAATTCACTAACGAATTCGTTTTACATGTTAATGATGGTGAGCAGGCAGCACGATTACTAGCAGAGAAATATCAATTACAATTCGAACGACAAGTATGTGAAAATTATAATTTTTTGCCCAAGTTCATTTTTCGATAAAAAACGATTCTTTTCATAGGCTATACCAAATGAGAATTACTTCGTATTCCGTCAAGCAATCAATAGCCGAAGACGAAAGCGTTCAGCAAATGGATCAGATCGCGAACTTGTTAGAGAACTCCAAAGCGATCCATTGATTGATTGGGCTGAACAACAACAAGTGAAAAAACGAGTCAAACGGAATGTGATGTATTATCATCGAATGAAGTCATTTCTATCATCGACATTCAATGATCCTGAATGGGATAAACAATGGTATATGGTAAGTTTGATCTCTTCTCCGTTGAAATAACATACACATGCCCTCGTCAATAGCATGATGAGAATGAACATGGCCGTGCAATGAACATATCAGGCGCCTGGCGTCTTGGTTTTACTGGTAAAGATGTTGTCGTAACCATCCTTGACGATGGCATAGAGAAAGATCATCCTGATTTGATTCAAAATTATGTAAGTCGACCAATTGTTTGGTGTGCCGTGTCTTGCATGTTGCATGTTTGAAAACAAAACCGAATTTCTAGGAACCGCAAGCAAGTACCGATATCAATGGTTTTGACAATGATCCTCAACCACGTTATGATCCAACCAATGAAAACAAGTAGAAACAAACTTCCGTTTTTTTTTCTTGTGTTTTCTTTTCGAAATCACTTCACGAATGTGAAAAATCAGAAGACAGTGTTTAGGAAAGTTAATCAATGTTGATATTGTTTGTAGGAACCGCGTGCTAGTTATGATATCAATGGAAATGACAGCGATCCACAACCGAGAATGACAGCAACTAATGATAATAAGTAAATAGAGAGGTTTACTCTTTGACAGTATATGACAAGTTTGTTTGTATATGTTTGAGCATGTCTGAAGATGCGAATGAATCTTTCTTCATCTTGGCTATGTGCATGAATGATTAGCTTTGCAAATGATTAATCACAGACTATTTGAATGTTTTTGTTTATTTCTAGACACGGAACGAGATGTGCTGGGGAAGTTGGTAAGTCAGAATTCAAGGCTGGATTATGTAAATAGTAATTAAATCGTTTAGCTGCGGCAGCAAATAATAATATTTGTAACGTTGGAGTGGCTTATAATGCACGAATTGGAGGTAAATTGCTTAACTGCTACTTCGAATAGAACTGCTGCCGATCGAATCCGATTGCTTCGTTCGCGGAACAAAGCTTTTGTTATCTTTGTTGTACATGATTACAAATAGGAAGTAGGGAATTTCCTTTTTCAATCTGTTTTGACGAATGATCAGTGAGTTGGCCAGTTCTATGATAGACAATTTGTCTTGCTTGTACTTGAACAAAAAGAAAACAATCAGCAGTAAGCTTGCTATGCTTAGACAACGAGAGTAGACTAGTGTCTGATCGAAGCATATAATTCAATCAGGAAAATGTCGGAAATTATTGTATTTCAAAGGCAAACAAAGCAAATCGGATCGTGTTTTGAATAGTAATGAAGTTTGCGTGAATCTAATCGAGTTTTACATCAATTTCAGGCATTCGTCTCTTGGATGGCGAGGTGACTGATTTAGTCGAATCTATGGCATTGAGTTTTCGGCCGGATTTTATCGATATTTATTCTGCTAGTTGGTAAGAATATTTCAAATGTTTGGTTTTTGATAATTCCAACAATTGATATTGTTTATTCTCAGGGGCCCGGACGACGACGGAAAAACAGTTGATGGACCAGCTACATTAGCTCAGGCAGCATTTGAAAATGGCATCAAATATGTAAATACTTGTCTTCGTTGCATCTTTTTTTCTTTCTCACAGTGGATCGTTTCTCTAGGGTCGACAAGGTCTCGGTTCAATTTATGTATGGGCATCAGGAAATGGCGGAAAAGACGATGATAATTGCAATTGTGATGGCTATACGAATTCTATTTATACAGTATCTATTTCGAGCGCTACAGAAAATGGCAATATACCTTGGTATTCTGAAGCATGCTCTTCTACGTTAGCTACAACCTATAGTAGTGGAGCGTCGGATGAAAAGCAAGTCGTCTCAACAGATCTACGGAGTCAATGTACAGAAAATCATACAGGTAGACATTTAGAAAGAAGATTCGATCTTTAGACATCTGATATTTGCGTTTTTGTATTTAGGAACATCGGCGTCGGCACCATTAGCTGCCGGAATGATTGCTTTAGCACTTGAAGCTAATCGTAATTTAACTTGGCGAGATGTTCAACATTTAATTGTGGAAACAGCTAAACCAAGATACTTAAATGCACTAGACTGGAAAACGAATGGAGTCGGTCGGCGTGTTAGCCACGCATTCGGTTTTGGAATGATGGATGCTGCTCAGTTCGTTCTGAAAGTACGAAGTTATTTTTCTTCAAAGCATCCGCCTATTTTCGATCTCCTATCTCAGGCACAAAAGTGGCAAACAGTTCCATCTCAACATGTATGTCATCAAACTGATCCAAATATTGTTGCCAAGTGAGTAGAAAAACAAAACGAATAGATCAGTTAACAATGAACATGTTGTTTAGAACATTCAAAAAACACGAACGAGTCGTTATCCAAATGTACACCGATGGTTGTCTGAACACAGAAAAGGAAATTAACTTCCTTGAACATGTCCAATCGAAACTTTCTGTTAGAGTGAAATATCGAGGTAGGTTTTACCTTGAAGTTATGGAGCGTTCGATTCAATATTGTTTTTTTAAAGGAAATTTGCAAATCTTTTTAACTTCACCCATGGGTACCAATTCCACATTATTAGGTCGACGAGTTGAAGATGATTCGGCTGATGGATTCAATAGTTGGCCGTTCATGACTGTACATAATTGGGGAGAATCACCTCGTGGTGTGTGGACATTAGAAATAGTTGATGTAGAAAACAATGGTAAGCTACTTTTTCTTCTCATTGCTCTGATCGTTCATCGTCGTTCTCTTTCAGTTATTTTTCTCAATTGGTCCCTGATTTTCTATGGTACTCAAAGTAATCCCTCACATAAATTAGCAACTTCTACTCCATCGAAAGTTGTCGCTGCGAATGTTCACCTTCATCCATCTGATGAACTCAATACGAACGTCGCTCGTTCTCGTTCTACCAACCATCATAACTCTTTTCACACTCGTCATCGAGAAAAAAACCGTAAAAACAAACAACAGAATCATTATTATATCAAGCATCATTATTACCCATATGAACCCATCTCTTCGTCCTCTGCAACTTCCTACTATACTGATGATCAATATCAACTAGATATGTCGAAGTCACATCGAACACACCCGTATTTGACATTAATTCTGCTGATCGTCGTTCTTATTTGGCATTCTGTTTAGAAAAATTTTTTTTAAATATCTTTTATTGTATTTGCTCATCTATCTCAGTATTTTCTACATCTTATTGAAGAAAACCGAACAAAAATAACATCAGTACTTCCGTTGTTTTGTCTCGTTGTGTGTTCATATGTATAAGTTACTGAAGAACAAAAAACTTTAACCTTAACGGACTATTTTTGTTTTTTTTCTCATTGTGAAAATAAACTCGAATGAAAAAGCGAATTATCTAATCCATCTTTGCCTTTTAGAAATGTCTGGTTTAGCTTATTTTTTTAAACCGAAAATAAGTGCCACAGATTCGGCATCATCATCAGCAACAGAGAAACGTTCTGGCCGACGTTCGAAAGCAAGCAAATCGTCAGAAACACCAGCGACCATTGAGACGCCTGTCGAATCGATGGAAACTGAAGAAAATATTCCAGAAACCAATGATAATCATGAAGAAGCGCCACCTCCACCTCCACCAGAGCCACAGCAGACGGAGAATCTTCCGACAGCAACGCCAAAAATCAAGCTAAAGTTCAATTTTCGATCTCAATCCATTCATGATGCATCGGAAAGTCCAATTATAACCAATGTTACTAATGAAACGAATGATCTATCTGATGACGAATCATCGGACAACGATACTCGGCTAAAAATTGACGATGATCAAGAGGATTTCGAAGAGCAAGATTCACCATTGCCATTGCAACACCAAGAAGAGATACCTATGGCAATAGTTTCACCATCGAAGAAGAAATCTCAGTCATCTCGTAAGAAAGTGATTAGTCATTTAATTGGAACAACGACCAATACATTGTCATTTGATGAACCAAGTCCAATTAAAATTCCTTTGAATGACTCACAATTCAGTGAGATCAAACAGACAAAATCTGGTCGAACGATTAAATACACACCTTACTTCAAAGAACTTGTTCAAGGCGCAACTATTTCTCCGCCGACATCACCTGTTCATTCGTCAGCACCGGCGAAACGTCCATCATCGTACTCTAAGAAGAAACAATCATCGATTAAGGCTGATTTGGATGCTATCAAAAATGGCGGTTTACCAGGAACTATCAATTCTAAAGGGAGAAAATCGACGGGATCGCCCAAAGCAAAAAAACAAACAAGTTCACCCGTGAAACGTGCTGGTCAAGGAAGAAAATCGGCTACGCCGAAGCAAGCTACCACTGGTACGCAGAATTAATTTGTTCCGTAGAAGAATCATTCAGAAGAAAGCCATTGTTGTCTTTTTTTTCATTTAGCAAAATTGAAACGAATCTCAAATCAAATGCCTGCAGATAACCAAATCGAAAATGAAGACGACGGCGATGACGACAATGATGATGAAATTCATCAATCACAACGGCTAAGTGATGATGAAGAATTTCGTAATAACATTCCATTCTCTTTTCTACATTCAGATCATTTTTGCTTTCTTGTATAGATCATGAAGGTCAGACGTCGGAAGAAGACGAAGATGAAGGTGAACGTAGTATCGATGCTGAAGAAGATCAGACATCCGAAGCTGAAACCGATGAAGAAGAATGGACAACAGGCAGTACCAAGCAAGAGCATGATCGAACATTTGGACTCACAGCAACGCTTGGCTCTGTATCTAGGGAAATGTTTGACGGATTTTGTCTGTGGTCAATGAGATACCGCGCGCGTCATCGGGCAACGGCGCTCGATGATAAACGTCTTCATCGTACGTGGAAAAAAATGAGCGCACACGATCGTCAACGTTGGTGTTTAAAAGCTGAAAAAGAAAATTATCATTATCCAATTACGGCTGAACTTTTGAAAGCTTCGACAAGCGTGGAATCATCAGCGACAACACCGAAGTCAGCAAAACCAGCGAAACGAAAAAAAGGTACGGATGATCATCCTCCAATACTTCTTCAGAAAACGTTGAACCAATATTCGAAACAACAACCATCACTATCATCAATTCGACCACCTAATGCGTTTGTTAAACCACCAACTGTCATTACGCCGCCTAAGAATTATGATATTGTTGATATCGCTGCTGGTATCTATTTACTTGGTGAATCATTAACAAAAATGGGTGAGAAAGTTCGACAATTGAGTCATCTGAATCCTCGTGGCACATCGGCAGCAACGTCTATCGATAATCTTGCTGCCATTCTCTTTGATGGAACATTATGTGCATGCAATCTAATGGCTTGTCTTGCAAATGAAGTGACAACAACGAATCCCTCAACAGCTAAATCAGATCCACTGACGAACAAGTTGATGGAAAATGTTGGCATTATCTTACCTGGACTAAATTAAAATATCTTTCTTGTATAGAAGTTTTGTGCACATTTCTGTATATGAATCTAAATAAAAAGAGATAGAAAGTCAAAGTTTACATTCGTGCTCTCTTTTGACAACTTTGCATGCATATGTCTATTCTAGATGCAACGAACAACAGTTATTCAACCGACTACAACTGTCAACGATCTTGTTCAACAAGAAGAGGCAGCAAAAGACAGTGCTATCTGGAATGTTTTTCGTAAAATGCTTCTCTTCACAGTAATGCTTACTGTTGCACCGTTAACATCGTTCTTCGTTTCGAAATACTACGTGTTCGAAGGTATCTTCAGTATGACCAGTAGCACTAGTTATATCTATTCAGCGTCAGTCGCGGTGATCGTCGTTCATATTATTTTAATTGCTTTTCTCTACGTGGCATTCCGTGATGATCAATCGGGCAAGAAAAGCAAAATCGAGTTGTTCAAAGAAACAACTGGCAAGAAAGACTAAAGTTGACTCATACGATTTCTTTTATATTACTTGTTTCGTTCTGTGTTTTATTCGAATTTGAACATGCCATCTGTCTATAAAAAAAAACTTGCATTTAATTCTTTTCTAGCATATCATCATTCAATTCTAGATATGACTACGCATCACATTCAACTAGCTTTTGATCTACTCGAGGATCTTTTTCCCGATGGAACTTCCAAAGAAATTGCATCGTATCTTAGTCGTAAAGGTCCTCTACCATTTGCTCTTCTCGTTCGCGATCTAAACATTCCTGCCAGAAACATCGCACGATCATTAGCCGCACTAACGATACATGATATAGTCGAATGCCAGGTTGAAGCGAGTACGAAACGTGTTCTCTATGCATTAAATCTTAAACGAACACTATACATATTACATTATTCAAAATGCATTCATTGTGCCAGACAATTGTATAGTTTCGATGGCGAATTGATTATCGAAGAGTTACTTTTAAATGGCAAACAACGTATGAGTACATTGCTAGTTAAAGTTTATGAACGTTTAATCAAAGCTGGCAAAGATCCGGAAACACACAATTTGCAATCGATCAAAGAGAAGTTTAAAACCTTAGTGTCTGCACAATTCCTACAACGTGTTGTCGCTGATGATGCCAAACCATTTATGGCCACAACTGTCGAAGAAACATCAGCCAGTTCTGTGCAAATACCAGAATTAACACCAGAAGCTTGGAAATATTTGGTGTCTAATCAACAGTATGAGTCCAACGAACCAGCACAGAAAAAGGTAAAAACATCCATGCCAATATTCGGTGATGAAAAAATCTTTTGGAAAGTTAATTTTCAACGATTTTTTGCTTATCTACGCGACGAAGAACTCATTCAAGCATTTACAAATCGAATCGATCAGGTAATAGATAAATGTGATAAGAGCAATACTACTTTTCCTCTATCCAATTAGAATGCTGGGAAAATCGTTCGAGCAATCCTACGACTCGCCGCTGTCAAACTGGACCCTTCGCGAACGATACCAATATCATTTATTGAAGTAATTCATTTGTTGACAACAATTCCTTGTCTAGTTGCGTTATTCACACAGATTGCAAAAACAATCTCAAACACCGGCTTACAACTGAATGATGAATCCTTGCAGAAATATATGAATGTCATTACCAATGATGTGGTAAGTGAGACTACACATGAAGTGTACAACTACGCAAATAATTTTCTTAGAATAATTGTATTGTTAAAATTGGTGATCATGGAAGAGGAACATACGAAGTAGGTAATGACATGACTGTTAATAAGCTGTGTCTGATGAGATCTAGAATCATTATCTTTGTTCATTGGAGATTTTCAAAAAGCACTGCGCGGTTTAACTAAAGCACATATTCAATCATTCTTGAAAGAAAGATATGGCTCCAATGCACTCAGAATTTACAACATGTTAGAAGAACGTGGCTGTTTATCACAAAAACAAGTAAACAAAGTCGTTGAATTAAACGTCATTGAATCGACTCTTGTCTTTTAGATTGAAGATATGGCAATGATTAATGCAAAAGAAGCACAACAGTATGTGTATTCGATGTTTATCGATGGAATGTTAACACTAGAGGTATACATTCACAATTGAACTTCATCTATTGTTTGAATTTATTGATATCTGCACGTAGGAGCTATCAAAAGCAAATGATTTCAATCCGACTCGAACATTTTATTTCTTCCGTGTAAATTTGTACAATGGAGTTTTATCCTTACTTGATCATTCGTATAAGGTAAACGAATTGATGAATGTATTATTCTTTTCCTATCTTGTGTTCTAATAGACTATGTCTAATTTGATGCAACGACGTCATTTCGAAAAGGAACGTCATAGAAAACTGATCGACAAACGTGATAAAGTCGACGCAATTATTCACAGTCTTCGAGAACAAAACGCGGATGAAGAGCAGATCAACGAAGTCGACGACATTCTATCGCCAGTAGAAAAAGAACAAATAAAAAAACTGGATGCTGCTTTCCGCAAGTATGAATTATTATTGAGTTTCAATGCATTCATTTCTTTTACTAGAATTGATCTTGCTCAACTTCAATTAACAGAAACAATTCTCCTACTAGAACTCTATCTCTCGTTATCAAACACTGTGGCACCAGTACAGAAGAAAACTGGTGGTAAAGCTGTTGCCGAAAAACTATTAGAAACCAGAGCGCAAAGATAATCTACCTATCACTTGCCAATCTTGTGATAATATGCTTTCTTTTTCAATAAATCAAAGTTATACTAGACGAATGAACATTCTGTGTACTTTAAAGTTAGCCACACTGGTATTCCGCTAAGCACACTGAAATTCGTCATTGCCACCTGCCAAAAGCGGTACCTTTTTATCTCTTCATCTAAGTCAAACGAAGACAGAAATGTGTCTTCTGAAACATCGCAATTCATTGGTCGAGATACATGAAATTCTAATTATCGTATCTCATGGTGTATTATATAAAGAGACAAACGCAATACTGTGCGCTTTTTCATCAAATGATAGAGAAAATCGAGATTTAACTAGGTGGTGATCTACGATGGAATCGACCGAAAAGACGTCGTGTCCGAGGCCTGCTTTGATCATGATCATGACAATTTCCAAGCCAGATCTGGATACATCGTAAACCATGTCGACACAAAGATCTTGACCTCTTCATTTTCAGCCATTGTTCAATATCTTCACAATAATTTGATATGTCTGACGAATAGAATGTTACACTAAACAGTTGAGGAACTTGTTCCAAGATCATCTTCATTTCCTTGAAGTTACTTATCGAAATCTGTAGATGTTGAACTGTATGTGGAATCAATGTACACAAACTCTGTGTACTATGCAACGACTCTTCGCTATGAATATAAGTGAGTTTGAGCGTGTGAATGTTCGATGCTTCTCTCAGTATCGCTGACAGATAATCACTCAACGATGTTTTTTGAGCAAAATTATGAACGAGAAGTTGAATTGTTAAACGAACCACTGATGAAAGATCAATCAGTGTTCGAAGAGATGATAACGATGTGTATGGATGTCTTCCATCAAAGTTCACTGAAAGACACTCGAGTCGTCGAAACAAGGCACTTTCACTTGACTTCTTCTACAAAATCAAAACAGAAACTTTTGTGAAACAATAAATCAACACAATCAATACCGATGCTTTATCTCCACCACGTTCAAGTGTTTCATTCAAATTCAAACTAATATTGTTAACATATTGTGTTATTTCAACGTGATCCTTTTCACTTGTTGGTAAAGTAGATAGGGATATTTTGGATGAATTTGTATAATACATAAACATTGGATTACAGATCGGTAGTGAATACAATCGAATACCTGCTAATGATTTGATATAATCACAAGTCACATACCAACGATGATTTTTGANGTCCCACATAAATATTTTTATTTGTGACAAAACGGAAAATAATCACATATTTCAATAAGATTTTCACTATGAGGAGTGAAACATTTGATTTGTCAACTCTGTTTTTCTCTCTTTTTCTTCATATCCTTTCCGAAATATGTCACATAGAAAAAGTGTGCAAACAGAAGAAAATATGAAGCATAGAGAGCTAAGGACAAGGTGATATTGGTGAGATCTGTTGAGCAAAGATGTCCTTGAGTTTTATAATGATATGCACTTAGATTAACTACACATCCAAGCACCATTTGAATGAGTTATGTGTAGAACTTTGAAGTCATAAACAACGAAATCCTCAATATTATCAATGATCAGATCGATTGAATCCGAACAGATTACCATAATTGGATAACAGTCTTTGACATATGACCAATCACAGATAGAATACATGAATCAGCTCTAGTACACATTCACAAGCACCCGAAACACTGAAAATGTTGAGACCAGTATTTCATAATATTAAAGGTATTTGTAATTCGAATTTGTCCTCTCTATCCTACCGGAAAATACGAGAATAATGTAAGATTTCGCATGGAGAAGATTGTAATATTGTGCTCTTCTCTTTCTCTTTCACAACGAGGTCACAGACGAACAGTTCCTATTGACCTCGATCACTCGAAATTGCATAGTCACGTCTTTCTATGCCTTACAATATTTCTTTCTTTTGAATAAACGATGATTTATCTCCTTTTGTTAGTTGATATTCACTCCACTGTATAACTTCGGAATACGACACTTATCTAAATCTCCTTCTATTCTAGACAACCTATCATCATTTTTGTTCAGTATGTCCGGCCACAAATTTTCCCATTTACTCTCTACAATCGGAAATGATGTAAATTTAATGGTAGCATCAGTTTCGCCGCACTGACTTGCGCCAATTATGGAAAGTCAGTCCGACGAAATTCGCATTTTTCGGGCTTAAAGAATTCTTTTGCAGAGTCTGTTATCTTTCTTTTTCAGGTTGATCAGCTTGACAAGCTTCAAAAAAACTTTCAAAATGAATATGATCAAACGTCAAAAGTTGTCGAAAAGCTTGAAGAAGAGCCACAAAATCAAGCAACGACTACTGAGCTCAATCGTTTACAGCAGCTGCAGAAAAGTCATCGAATAAAAATCCGTTTGACTGGTTTAAAAGCTGAAAAGGCAGCCGACGATCGTGACGCCGTGCTTTCGAAAGAGTGCCGTACGTTTTCATAAAAAGTTTCATGCAATGGATCGTTCATGAGACAATTATTTTACATAGGACTTAATAATAAACGCGGGACCATTTTGATTCTCGGACTTTCGAATTCAGGAAAAGTAAAATACGAAATCGATTGTTCATTTTTGGAATTAACTTTCCTATTCCTTTCAGAAGACATTGCTCAATACATTAAAAGAAAACAAATTCGATCAATATTCATCCAGTTTTTCTGTTGGTATGGAATAACTTCTTGTTTTCTTCGCCTATGAAATGTTTGTATTTATAGGCTCACAAGAATTGCTAATCGGAAACATGAAATTTACTTGTACAAATATCGATTTACAGCATGGTGATGATAAAAACAATGTAACGATAACACATCTTATATTTGTGTTGTAGATGGTCGTTTATCGAAACAGATTCCGATGAACGATGCAATTATCTTTCTCATCGACTTAACTGATCCGATTCGTTTTTCTACAGCTAAAGAAATCATTATGGTTTGTATTTCATTTGATTTAATCCTAAACACGATTCAGATGTTTTCTTTTATAATTAGTTCCTATTAAATGAAAAAGAAATTTCGAGCAAACCATTGGTAATCGTTGGAACGAAAAAGGATTTAATTGCAAACGTTGATGAAGCTGATCTTATCGAAGCACTTGGTATTGACATGCCATACAATACATCAAAATCGTTCAAATTTTATTTGGCAAACATGAAAGATATGGCTAGTTTTGCCTGTGCATTTCGCTTTATTGCGACATTTCTTAACGACCAATAAAAATTGATTCTCTTCCTTTATTTTCGAATAAAAGAACTTCACTTTTTCGTTCGAGATTTCACTAAATACAAAGCATCTGCTTAGTCAAACAATTCCGATTCGAAATCAACAACTTTCTTCTTTTGCTTTATTGATTTGATTTCATCTATTTGAAAAGATCAAAAAGCTATTCAATCTTCTGTCATTATTAACTATTATCAAGCTGAGCTCTTACAGATATTCTATTTACAATAAAGGAAAGTATTGATGAAAATTTTTTGGAGGCACAAACGATTCATTTGTGCGAAGACTGGTAAACTTGCTACAGGTGAGCCGTGTAGCATCATTTGTGAAATTGTTTGTGATCAGAATGAGTGATTCATAGTCGATATTAAGACTTAGTAAACAAGGCACATGACAAAATTTATCGACGAGGAATTGTTCAGCATAATCAGCATGAGCACCTCGAAGATAAAGATAAATAAGATAAGGAAATTGGATCAATGGTAATGATTTTTGCTTGTCTTTCTGTGGCTTTTTGTTCATAATATGCAACATTTTCAATGACGGGAAACTTTGAGAAATGATTTGGAAGAAATTGTGCTCAAAAGAACAACAATCACCCATCACTAGAGATTGAACATTCGTAAATATTCCACCTTGAAACGAATTAGTTAAGAAATGATAAGTTTTGAAATGATATGGAAGTGAATAGATGTGACATCTGCTTTGAAATTCAAAAGGTAACGAATAATTATGACAGGCACGTTCATTTAAACTGTTGAAAACTTCAATATGTGAAGCAACTGGTCCATAGTATTCTTTTCTTCTGAAACTACGTTGAACATCTTTCTTAGAGGAGAAATTAATTCCAACATTGTTCTTATCAACATTTGTGTATAGATTAAAAGTAAATTTGTTCATTTGTGGCATATGAATAAGTATATCATCATATAATTGAATACCATCAACATAGTTTTTATTGCTTCTTATTATTGATAGGTCTAATATCAATTCTTCAAGATTTATCATTCGTCGAAGTAATGGAATAATGACATCATCGTATAAAAATGTATGTGGATACGATGTTAACGAAAAATGTTTTAATTTGGAAAGTGTTTCCTATATAAAATGATGGAAAATACTGCTTTGTTGTTCTCGAAAGAAAAGACTTGCTAATTATACTCACTGTATTATCGATGGTTTCTGATGTCGATGAAATAATATCTATATTTACAATTAACGTTGATAAACAACGAAAACGTCCATCAAGTAGATAAAGACAATCATTGAAAGATTCCAGATTGATGATCAATTGAGTTAAGATTGAAGATTTAAAATTAGTTGATGAGAAGTCAAAGGTACAGATCGTTGTTCGATAATCGAATTGACCAATACTTAACTTCTTCAATTGTTTACATAATGATACTACCGAAGTCAGTATAAGCCAAAGTGCTTCAGAAGATGGTTCTGTTGGCTGATCTTTGATGTCAATTGTAAGACATGTAATTTGTTGATGGAGAAGTTGTCGAAAAATTGTATTATCTTTAGTTGAAAAGCAAAAACAAGATACAAACTAGTATGAATTCGTATTAAATACTTTACTTGTTAATTCGTTCAAAAGAACTTCTTCTGAAAAATCCACAAGTTTTAATGAATAAAGTTCAGGATAATTGATGACATTAAGAACACGATTCATTGAATATTGTTCAACAATGATTTCACTTATTTTATGCGATATTTGTGGTAAAATACTTTTACAAATTCTATCAAGAACTCGACTGTCTATTGAATAAATGCGATCGTGAAATGACTTCATTGTCATAGATGTCATATTAAGATTACGAATATAAAGCGGGTCGAATACTAATTGATCGAGCCACTCAGTAAGACCAACAAGTGAGTATAGAACATCAGTCATATGCAGTTTGTTAAAAATAATCAATAAAATTTCATTGGGTAAATCGAATAGATCGGACTGATGATTGATCGACATTATCTATGTTTAATTCTTTCGTCTAACAATCTCTCTTATATACACACAAACATCGTTTCATTGTTTTTTCAGAAAGATGAATGGAAGAGAAATACTCATTTTCGAACAATAGGCGACTATTGATAGACGTTGGCATTTTTCGTTCTATCCCATTTCATTTATTTATTCATTCATTGAAAAGTCATTCGTCAGGTTATCCATCAAGTCATTCTTCTTTTATCAATGTCTACCATCATATTACATATTTTATTATGTATAAAGTAACGCGTTGGTCTGAAAAATCTTATTCAATTTAGTCCAAGGAATCGATAGAGAGATTTGTGTGTGTGTACGTCGGAAGGACTAGAAATAATTTTTAACTAGGTCGAATATTTAATTGAGTACTTTCAATTAAAATTGAATGTCAACATTTACTACGCCATCTGATGGTTCAAAACCGCTCAAACGAGTATGGATAAAGATGGGGAAAAGAAAAAGATGCTGGTGAGAGAAAACAAAGATTGAGATTTTGTTTCGATTGAAGCTAGATTTGAACCTCGAGAAAACGAGTGGCAAGAAAGTCTAATTTTTACCTGTATCATTTCTTTTCTAATTTCTTTCACTTTTTGTTCTGATGACTAGACTTGTATAGAATAAGTCTTTTTCCTCAACGGAAATAAAAACAAAAACAGATAGCTCTAGGTCAAAATGAATTTCTTCGGGTTTCTTTTAACTTCAGTTGAATTTCGTAGAAATTCCATGCGTTTTTGTGCAAATCTATCAACATTATTCAATGATATACCCAAACTAACCGAACGGTAATCTTTTACAAATCCATATGAGGTATCTGTTGATACATGGAAAGAGGCGGTGGTGAAAGACAAATCATTGAAATGGATATTAATCAATAGCTTACCGCTTTATGATCAAACAAATGAGATTCCATCATTCAACGAATACAAAAAGATAGTTCTTGATCGTACACTTGATTATGCTAAAATGTTCAACGTCAGTAAAGTGCATCTAGTGATGACAGAAGCAAAGGATGAGTCCGATCGGTAAGAATTTCTCATACTAAAGATTTTATATTTATTTTCACACGGAGTTAAGATCAAGGATCATCGATCTTGTACATCAGGCAGCTCAATTCTTTCAACCACATCGTATTTTATGTCTGATTGAGCCACTTTCAACACGGCCGAACTACTATTTACAATCGTATTCGACAGCAATGAGTATTGTTCAGTCATCTAACAGCAATAATCTGAAAATCATGTTGGATTCCTTCCATCTTCAACGATTACATGGAAACTTAACTGAAAGAGTCAAAGTATTCGAAATGAATTCTGATTAGTTTTCAAACACAGTTCATCTTTTCTCATCGTAAGGAATTAGCTCCGTTCGTTGGACACGTTCAAATTTCACAAACACCAAACCGTGATTGTCCTATGAACGAAAATGGCGAAGTTAATCATCGATATTTTCTATCTAACCTCATTGCATCATTCTATCAAGATTACATCGGTTTAGAATATAACTGTGACAAGTCAATGTGGTGTTCTTCAACTCTAGATTCTGGTGATGCATCGCTAAAACGGCTGGATAGATTTATATCAGCCTATTGAATATTCTTTTGTTGCAATTTTCTTGATTTTGATTATGATCAATTTTTAATGATTATGCGAGTATTTTATGCATACACGGATTCAATTCTATACTCTATGAAATGGAACAGTTGAAGAAAAACATTGGCTGACACACTAAATTCTTTTTCAGAAGCGAAAGATAATTCAATAGTCATCCCGTTTCATGCGCCCTAGATATTTAGTTCAAAAATTTATCTTGCTACAAAAGTAAAGCATTACTTGACAAAAGCCGAGAAAAGGTTCTTTGCAGATTAAATACCACCAATCAAGCCCTTTCAACTGGTTTGATGGATATGAGGGTGGTATGGATTGCACGAACAAAGCCGTTTTTTCGAAAAACTGCTAAAGCGACCTTCATTTGAATGATAAAGATAGTCGAGATTTAACTAGGTGGTGATCTACGATGGAATCGACCGAAAAGACGTCGTGTCCGAGGCCTGCTTTGATCATGATCATGACAATTTCCAAGCCAGATCTGGATACATCGTAAACCATGTCGACACAAAGATCTTGACCTCTTCATTTTCAGCCATTGTTCAATATCTTCACAATAATTTGATATGTCTGACGAATAGAATGTTACACTAAACAGTTGAGGAACTTGTTCCAAGATCATCTTCATTTCCTTGAAGTTACTTATCGAAATCTGTAGATGTTGAACTGTATGTGGAATCAATGTACACAAACTCTGTGTACTATGCAACGACTCTTCGCTATGAATATAAGTGAGTTTGAGCGTGTGAATGTTCGATGCTTCTCTCAGTATCGCTGACAGATAATCACTCAACGATGTTTTTTGAGCAAAATTATGAACGAGAAGTTGAATTGTTAAACGAACCACTGATGAAAGATCAATTAGTGTTCGAAGAGATGATAACGATGTGTATGGATGTCTTCCATCAAAGTTCACTGAAAGACACTCGAGTCGTCGAAACATGACACTTTCACTTGACTTCTTCTACAAAATCAAAAGAGAAACTTTTACGAAGCAATAAATCAGAACTCAGTCAATACCGATGCTTTATCTCCACCACGTTCAAGTGTTTCATTCAAATTCAAACTAATATTGTTAACATATTGTGTTATTTCAACGTGATCTTTTTCACTTGTTGGTAAAGTAGATAGAGATATTTTGGATGAATTTGTATAATACATAAACATTGGATTACAGATCGGTAGTGAATACAATCGAATACCTGCTAATGATTTGATATAATCACAAGTCACATACCAACGATGATTTTTGAGCCAGAATGGTGTCTCAAATGGTTTCACGTATGTCTGAAGATCTAACGAATCTGTAGTCACTTGAGTCAAATCATCAAAGAAGAACTCAAATCTTTGCAGATTAATCAATTTATTCTTGATAAACTTTTCCCATTCATTTCCGTTGATCACCGAATCACACGAATCCGTCCAGATAATCACTTTCAAATACTCTACACTTGGTGTACATGAAAGTAAGATGCATAGCTCTTTCATACGAATAAAACAAGCACCAAATGATAATGTACGAAAATGAACTGGACAAATATCATCCGGTGGTTGATACATACTGCCATCAAGATTAGACATTAGACATTTTGTTAACGATAACTTTTGTAGATTAATCGAGTGACGAAGTATCATGCAATATTCTTGAAATGTACAATGTTCAAGATGAAGACATTTCAATGTGGTTGGTAGTGGTGAACAAGCGAAAGCATCTAAATCTCGATAGGAAATATTCAAATGTAAATATTCTAGTTTGGACTTGACAATGATTGAAGAAAGAAGTAAACGAACTGTATGAGTAAATGTATCCCATGCAAAACATTCGATTGTTAACGATTTCAATGTACATTTGGAGAGATGAACTAACAGTGTAAACAGATTACTTTCATTGATTTTGATTAATGTTAACGAGTGAAGTTGACAACATTGTTGTAATGCAAATCGTGATAGAAATGTTTGAATTTGATATGGAGTGTTGAAATCATCACTGAGAATAAGCGAAAGAACATTTGCTGGTGATATGAGTCGACACAAATGATCAAAATCACTTTTGGATATCAATCTCATATCGACATGATAACGATCATGAGAATTCACGATCGTATAGAATCGTTTGCAGACATGACGAAATGAAATGAAGATTGTGGAAATATCAAGATATTCCAATAAATGATAAATCAATTCTGCTGGGAGTCGATCGAACGGAGACGACGAACAACAAGACATTTTACATTTCTCATCCAATTCTACACGTGCTTTTCTAACTACAACAAAGAAAAAGTCAATGAAGGATGACTGGGCCTACACTTTCTTTGTATATTCATCGATATAGATATAAATAGAAGTGTGTTCTATTCAGGGATTGAAACTGATTTGCGTCAATCCAAGGATCAAATTTGTTTTGTCCCACATAAATACTTTTTATTTGTGACAAAACGGAAAATAATCACATATTTCAATAAGATTTTCACTATGAGGAGTGAAACGTTTGATTTGTCAACTCTGTTTTTCTCTCTTTTTCTTCATATCCTTTCCGAAATATGTCACATAGAAAAAGTGTGCAAACAGAAGAAAATATGAAGCATAGAGAGCTAAGGACAAGGTGATATTGGTGAGATCTGTTGANTCCCACATAAATACTTTTTATTTGTGACAAAACGGAAAATAATCACATATTTCAATAAGATTTTCACTATGAGGAGTGAAACGTTTGATTTGTCAACTCTGTTTTTCTCTCTTTTTCTTCATATCCTTTCCGAAATATGTCACATAGAAAAAGTGTGCAAACAGAAGAAAATATGAAGCATAGAGAGCTAAGGACAAGGTGATATTGGTGAGATCTGTTGAACAAAGATGTCCTTGAGTATTATAATGATATGCACTCAGATTAACTATACATCCAAGAACCATTTGGATGAGTTGTAAAAGAGTGATTGTGGCTTGAACGAAACTAGGCACATGGATGCGAGCAGCTCGCAAAGCAAAATAACCATACATAATTGTATGTACACAATAATTCATTGAAACAAACCAGCGACCAGTAGATGCAAATAATGCATAACTATAAACAAACGAAATGGATAGGAAGCATATGATCGAATGACAAACCTGTAGAAACAATAGACTAGAACAGATGCATGGTGATACCAATGAAGAAAAATCAGCTGTTGGCGTCTCAAGACAATGAATAATGTATCAATTGTTTCTGGAACTTTCGAAGCCATAAACAGCCAAACCCTAAACAATGTCAATAGTTAAATCGATCAAAGTCAAAGAAATAATCACTACCATAATCCGGTAACACCTTCCATATATGAACAATTGCATATGGAATACATAAATCCATGTTGTGTTAAAGCATGAATCAGCTCTGGCACACATCGGCAAGCACCCCAAAAACTGAAAACGGTGAGACCGGCGTTCCATAATACTAGAGGTTTTCGTAGTTCGAATTTGTCCTTTCTTTTTGACATCCATGCTCGGCCGAGAAACACGAGAACAATATAAAATACGGCATAAACAAGACTTAACCACCACCAATGTTTCATCAAATGTTTGATAAAATCGAATGTGCGTTTGTCGAAAAACGCCAATTCAAACTCGAATACCCATGGATGAACAAAACCACTTGGATCTTTGATTTGATCATGTAACATTGTTGTGATAAATTATTTGTCAATTATCTAGTATATATACACTTTTTCATTTATTTTTCTTCCATTTCTTTAGTCATTTTTCAAATATGATTCACGACTCGACTACAATCTTTCTTCCTTTCTTCTTCTTCTTCTCCTTCTTACTTTGCACTACGACCTTGGTATCCGAGTAAATCATCGAGCGACAGGATGGTGTCATCCTCGTCTGGTCTTTTTTTATTTCAGCAGCAAGAAATAGGTCGTTGATATATATGAAGATTTTCGAAATAAAATATGGAGACCATTCTATCTTGGAATGAGAAACTTTTCTCCTGTTAAATGGAGCAATATAAACATCTGTTATCTTTTCTATGTGAAAACGATAAAACAAATGTCGAACGCTTCAAATAAATATCATTTTTCTCGTATCTTACTAGGTGATATTTACAGCGATCTATCATTGCTGATTATGAAAGTGCATTAATACAACGCAATGTATATCACTACTAAAAAAAGCAGTTCTGTTCGTCGTGATAACACAAGTCAACGAAAGAACGAACTTTAGAGAGTGAATAGTACGAGGATTTTGTCCTCGACAACATATGCCTTATCGTTTCGGGCCGATTCCAAAGTCGTCGGATACCTTTCCTTTTTCACAACATGTTATATAACGTGCATTTTTGCCCTTGTAAGAAAGTTAATTCAAACATACTGTTTACTATCAAATGCGTATAGGCAAAAAATATGATTAGTGCTAAAGTCCTGGACAAATAATTTTCACTTGATTTCGTCACTGTTTTAAAATATGAAGAAATTGATGAGTAAATATTTATTTTGAAAATTTCATTGATGAGAAAAGCTGTTTTTAGTGCGCTGTGGCTCGAGGTGATCGTGATAAATCCGTTGGCAGCTGCTGAGGATTATCGAAAACTTGCCACTTTTCTGATGGGATCCCTTCGAAAGCAGTTAGAAATCGTCGATCATTGAAATCTTCATTTTTAATTGCTCGAATAAAGATCGCACGTATCCGTTGCGGGTATTCTCGTGCAATAGTTCCATATATTTCCGGATCTTTTTCACCGCTATCACCTACTAATACATAATCACGAATTGTATTTGAAAGAAAAAACCGTAAATGTTTAATCTTGTGCATAAATGTTGCGTCAGAATGAAGAAATTCAAATAGCGACGCGGCTGCCCATCCAAAATGTCTCATATGAAATGATCCATCAGGAAAATTGTTTGTATAGATAAACTCTTGAGTTAGTGTATACAACTGATCTGGCATACCGGACAAATAGTGAAAAGTACAATTGGCATTAGATGTATACCACTGTCGATACAAATCTGCCATACCTAGTAGAAAAATGAAAGAAGGATATAAATACTCAAAAGACGATAATTCTAGTTTTACCGGGGACCGGTTTAAATGGATAGATGAAAGTATTAGCAATCAGTCGAACTTTATCCAGAACTTCAGATATTTTAATTGTATCATCAACATCACTAATCACCGAAATACCTTGTCGAGGTTCAATAAGTCGTATAACACCTTGTGCCCTATCTTGATTGTCACCGGTAGCTTCGTATGTTATAATATTGTCTTTTAGTTGTTGCTGTTGTCGTATTGTTTGTATTTGATTATTTGTCAGAAGAAGTTCTCCATAAAATTGACCATTCACGTCAGTCCGAAGTGACTGTGTCATTGTACCTACCTTAATTTCGATGACATCATTTGATTCATCGTCTACAAAAAACGGTTTCAATCGATCTCGATTCAATGAGCCATTTAAATACACGATTGCATCTGGATCTAATAAATGCTTTGCAATTCGTTCTACCCACCGCGTTAACGTAATACCCAACCAACTTCTTCCATGATTACTTTCGTATCGCCAACCGTGAATCACCACGTTCCATGTACTATCGTTTTTCAACGATTCAAAAGCAATGTCAGGATATAAAACCATATCTTCCTGTTCAAAACGTCGAAAGTCAATGTGAAATTTATTGACTGTTTTATTTTTTAGCTTGTCCACTACTGCCTGCCAAAAACGACGTTCCCGGATATCGTGAAAACGTTTTCGGCCATCAATTTGAATCGCGCAGCAGTAGCAGCACAGAACGATGAATAATAACGAATACGATGCCATCGATGATCAATGAAAAGTAAAAAGCGTCGAATAGTATATAGAATGAAAACAGAATTTTGTAACATATTTTTTATATAGTTGCAAAAGAACGAACTAACAAAAAGGTAGCCTTTCGAATGCCAAAAGCAAAATATTATAAAGTATGTATGAATAAGTATTTGGATATTACAGACAGAACAGTCAACTCGACTGAAAGCATAAATACATATATTATAACGATATAATACAATGTATCATTTACATATTATCAGAAAATAACGTCAATACATATATTTCTTTTTATCAAAGAACATTCATATGCAGAGGTTGTTACTGATTACTCTGCCAGAGTAAGGACGATCGATCATCGGTTAATTGTTACAAATGACATTATTCCCTAGTAGAAGTAGTCTTCGACATACTTTTTTAATTTGATAAGCTATATTCGTGGTTAAATGAATCTAGACATTGATAGCGACACAAAACTGATAAACGAACTATCGAACAATGACATAGGATAAGCACAACATCTTGAATGGGAATAGAAAAGAAACAAATGTGTCAACGTAGATGCATTGTCATGAATTCTTCTTTTGTTTCATATCCATCCCAAACACCTTTGGACTCGGCATTCTTTTTCGGAAGAATCTTGTATTTGATGATCCAACCACAATTTGGTGATAATGATCGTGACAACGATGCAGTTGAATCGCTCACATCAGAAGTGGCTGTTGATCCATTCTCTGAATTGAGACGTCTAGATGAAACAAAGATTATATCTATACGTATACAGTTCAATTGTTTTACCTGGAAGTTGAAGTAGTATCAGTCATTAGTGAAAGCAAGCGTAAGAAGTAGTAAGCGAGTTGGAAAGGAGGGAGTCAATCTTTGATCACTGCTTTACCAAGCGACGAAGCTGGTTCCTGTAAGGAAGAATAAATAAATGAAACAAGAAGTGGATGAAAGCACAAGTCGAGCACTTACATTTTTCCAAGTTTTACGAACTGGTATAGCTAATTGCTTCGATAACAACAACATTCAGGCATTACAATAAGAGCAGCAACAAATAATCGACAGGAAAAGTTTCTTTCCTCGCAATAAACAGTCACAAAGTCAGTCTAGATAATAAGTGAAATATATGAAAGAGTCAAAATGTTTGCCTTTTTTATACTCATAGGGAACATTTCGTATAGCATCGAAATCAAAACGAGAGAACAAATTTGAACAAAGAAAAAACGATAGATAAGAACCATTTGAATTTGAGTCAATAGATTAATCTTTCTTATCGTGTGCATCATTTCTTTCGCGCGGTAACCGCCTGACCGTTTAGAAATTCAACAGATGATCGCCATTATCTATTACGGACATAGTAAACCGGCTGATAAATAGAATGTTGCAGATATTTGGAAAAAGTCATATAATTATATTTTATGCTTAAACAAGAAAACAATCCTAATACAATATGTTTTGTATTTAGACATCTATTCATCTTTTTTTTTGTTCTTTTTTTTATAAAAAAAAAACGAAAACAATAGCGTATATAATATATAAGAGAGAAAAGTGACAAAATAAAAGATGTAGAGATTAAGAGCGGGCTGTTTCCGAGAAAACAAACATCTGTTCATAATAAAAAATAGAATGACTGATAAAAAAAAGAGGAAAAAATCGACTTATTTTGTTGTAGTTAACTGACAATCACTGAACGACATGTTCCTTTTGCAGATGATCTTGTTACAATTGATTTGCACGAACTTTCGTCATCTTCATTCGACTTCGAAGAATTACCATTCGTTTTCGATAGAACTGTCTCATCATTATGGCTGTACTGATGGTTGATCAGATGCATAGAGAACATGAAATATACATCACACTCCCGACATGGATGTAATCGTACTTTGGTGCCGTGTTGAACCATATGATGATACAACTGTGTCGCATCGTCAAACGAACATTGCTCGCAAAGAGTGCATTGATAATCACGATTGGGATATTGATGTTCGATTAGATGCACATGCAGTTTAATAGCCGTGTCAAAATTCGTCCGACATAAATAGCAGTAATGTACACGAGGTGGCGATGAACAGCGCGACGAGTTTGACGAATCTATGCTATCGATGAGAAAACCACTGGTTGACGACGATGGTGAGGATCGTTTTTGTTGATGTTGAAAAACGTGTTCACGTGATGGAACAATTTTATTACATTTTAGACTAGAAGCAAAAGAGAAAGATAAAAGAAAGGTATTGCGTGGTGAGAGAGGAATTTTACCAATGGTATTCGTCGGCGGAATATTTAGATAGATGAACGGATATGAAATGCTGTTGGTACGTTTTTATACTATCGAATTGCACGTCATTTCGACATTTTGGACAAGATAAGATCGTGGCAATTGTGTCAATTTCTTGAATGATGTTTAGATCTAAAGAGGCAATTGTATAAAAGTGAGAGTAACTAATTAACTGTGTATTTCCCATTTTCATTCATTATTGTCAATTGAGAAGAAAATCAAAGCGATGAAAAAAGAAGAGAAAAAGGCAAAGCTCACTTGCGATTCCCTTGATACTTCTAAATCTTTCCTTTCTGTTCCGGATGGCTATTCAGAGATTACTTTCAACTTCTCATTATGATTATGATTATTATAATAATTTTCTTCAACTGATATAAATCAAAATGTCGGAACTATCTTAACATGCACGGGTGCACTCTCCGTCTCTCATTACCTGGAGATTTCAAATCTTTTTCAATGCAATTAAAGCACTGGACATCGAATGATGGTAATTCCACGAGAAAATCTCGATGATTGTTTGTCGAATGTTGACATTGAACACAGGTGATTGCCATGGATACTGTAGATAAATCTTTGATCGCCGGTTTTTTCGTAGAGATGTTTGCCAAATGAAATTTAGCATGTAAATTAATTTCATGTTTATTAATTAATGATTGCTTACAAATGATACATGCCATTGCAAATGTACCGTGATCATTATTTGTTGTAAATAGTCCTGCTTTTGTTCTCAGATGGCGATTGTGATTGTTATGTTCATCTAAATGACGTAGAAAATCTGCTTCATTGTGTAAAATTTGATGGCAATGTAAACAAAGATTCGACGTCGTTGCTTTACAGTGGGATAACTTATGTTCAGAGAGATTGTCAAAGCTTGAGAATAACCGATCACATATATTACATTTCAAATTATTGCCCGATGACGCGATATGGATGCGAGAGTGACGATCGAGTTGAGTACGAGAAGTAAATAATGCGTGACAATAGGAACACTTGAACGAGGCCGAAATAGATGAATTTGCTAGTGGTAGAGGTGGCGATCGATGCGAATGTTTATTGTGTTCTGATATGAGTGATTCGGATGAATGTGTGGACTCATAAAGAGAACAAATAGTATCGGATGAATTGAGTGTTGCTATATGAAACGACTTTCAATGATATATTTATATACTACACAGAAAACTTGAATCTTACCAGGTTTTTTCCCGTTTTGTTGCCATTCTGAGCTAGTGATTCTTCGTTCATCGTTATGTTCTTGTAAAATGTGTTGATTGAGATCGAATCTGGAGTTAAACTTTAACGAACAGAAAGCACAGGAAAACAAAGTATTAAATGACGGACGCCGTGAAGTGAGATGTATATCGAGATTTTGATTGATCTTATGAATAAATTTCAAATGGTCAATCAATTCGTTCGTTGAATTCAACTGACAAGAACACAATGAACATGAATACAACGTTGATTTATGAATTGTTTGAACATGATGAAGGAAATCGTCGCGTTGTTTGTAACTCGCATTACATAATTTGCATTTAAATGTTTCCACTACAAATAAATTCTCTTTTGTTTGATCAGAAGATAAACTTTATTACTTACCGGTTTTCGAAGGATGCATTCGTTCGATATGGCTGAAGAAGAGTTCAATAGTTTCGAAAACATCCTGACATTGAAGACATTTGATTAATTGTAACGAATGTTGCAAGGAATAATGCTGTAAATAGACGGTCATTGAGTCGAATGAACGTTTACATTTTTCACACCAAATTGTTTGATCGACTAATGCATAATCATCAATAATTGAATCTTCGTATTTTTCATGTGTTTTCTGCGAAAGGGAAACTTCGACTAGATTTAATTGGTCGAGTGTTTTTTGAAATGGCGGATGTGTACAACGAATATGTGCATAATAGTTCTCTCGATTATTAAACTTGGCATTACATAAATGACAATAGGTATCAGTAGTCGATGGAGATATACGCTCAGATTTGAATTGTTCTTGAGTTTGATTATGTTCAGTTTGTATATGAGAACGAAGACTATCTTCACCGAGACAGATACGTGGACAGTAAGGGCAATGTTCAGCTTTATTTTCATCTCGATCGGTTTTCGAATGGGATGATATACTTCGTTCTTCAAGTTCTGATCGAGTTGTGCTCAGAGGTATTTTCAATTGAAAATCAAGATTAATAGACTTATCGATGGTTATGGAATTGTTATGAGTTGTTAGAGTATTGTTATTATTATGAATGTTATTATTATGAGTTCGAATATGAGCTTTGAGATGGTCTGAACGTGCGAATGTACTTTCGCACAAGTTACACTTAAATTTACGTTCACCTGTATGTAGTTTCGAATGACGATTGAGACTACGACGATGTTTAAATCCTTTGCCTAAAAAAAGAACTAAGCTGTTCCATCTCGAAACGAAGGTAGACAATGGGAAAACATACCGCAAAACGAACATCGAAAGGGCATTAATTCTACATGAACCTAACAATCGAGAAGCATGAGAAGAGAAAAACTTATCTTTGGTTTTTCTTGCTTACTTGTTCGTGTTTAAGTAGAAGTGCCATATTTGAAAATGCTTTATGACAATAAGCACATGGATGTGGATATTCTTCACATTGATTTATTCCGTGAGGAATCTAAGGTAAATCGAGGTTTAATTATGAAAGAAAGATTTCATTTCAATTACTATATCGACTTGATTAGCATAGTCATCGTAGGACGATGTACGACTTTCATCGCTGTTTGTTTCTTCTAAATGAAGAAAATAAATCTCATTGCATAATCGGTTAAGCGATGTTCACCTGTGACAAAGGAACATTGATAGAGACGATGATGATTAAACTGTTCACTAGTTAAAAAGCTTTCTTGACAATTATCACATTTGATTGATAGATTTGGTTGATCGTCTTCGACTGTTTGTGTTGAGTCTCTGCTATCTGATTGAACAGATTCAGAAGCGAATTCTGAACGATAATGAAAAGTGTTTGAAGAAAGATTTCTACAGTTAAACTCGGTCTTACTTTTCACATTGAATATCAAATTGTCGCCATCGTCCTCTCGAGATACTATACAATTGAAACAGAAATGAAATAGAACGAAAAAATATGCAAACTTTTACCATCACGTTTTATTGCTCTTGGATTTGTCTGTTTACGACGTGACATAGTTTTGTCTTTACTCTAGAATAGGATACTGCAATCAGCTCGATAGGCAAGACGAGTGCGTCTCCTTGTTCTAATCATGCTCTCGGTGCATCTTTCTCTCTCTCTCTCGGTTTGCCTTCCATATATTATATATAAATACGCGCATACTCGTCCATCGTTCCCGGAGGGGTGCCGAACACAGCAGTTGTCGTCGATCTATGCATTCTCTCTCTCTCTCTACCCACATGCTGTTTCGCACACATATACACACATACACGTAAAAAGAGTCGACTAGCTCCCCTGGGATGTAGCTACGGCAGGCAATACGACGTGTGCTCCCCGGTGACCATCCGACGACGTCAAACAGACAGCCATAGAGAGAAAGAGAGAAACAGCTAGTGGCATAGCGCTCGTCTTTTTCTTTTAAAATTCTCCGGAGATTTTCCTCGACAGAATTCTTTTAAACGAAGAAAAGAAGGCGAAGGAGAAGAAAAAGAAAGAAAATGGGAAAGATTACAGACTTATCTTATCCATAAAAATTAATAACTGAAATCAAATAAATAATTCCGAAACAAACGAATCTTTGTCACTGAATATGAGTAGATTCTTCTGTTCATTCCTAATTATACCTAGAGAGATATGAGGAAAAACGATATTCTTACCACATCTCTTTTGCTTTGGATTACAGCGGTGAAAAAAGAGAAAGGAAGAGATGACACCTGTCTATTGCTGTTTTCTTCTTGCTCATTCGCAGTCATTCATTTTATTCTCCACAGGGAATTATGGTGTATGGGAGAAATAAGGGAGAAAAAAAATGAACGAAGAAGGAAAAGAAAGAAACAACGGAAAACTATCCCATGTCGATAACAACTGAACGATGCGAAAAGCTAATCTTGTGAACTAATTAAACGAATGATTACAAATAATCTTAACTGAAATCTAATTGTTTGAATTGAAAAGGTTTTTCCAAAGTTTTCTCTCTGTTGGAATTAGAAACGAGCCTGTTCGAGTTTGAAAAAGAATTTCACTTGTTAATAAAGAACCAATCAGCTTACGACGCCACTTCACAATCAACGTCGAGGATGGCAACCTGGAGTAACGGTGAAGAGCATGGTGATTTATCGAAGAGAAAGAAATCCAATAAGATATTCGTTCATTCTTTTTCGAAGAAAATAGTTGGTGAGAAATGGCAACTTTAAGTGAATTAACAGCTCGAGTGGCCCAACGCAAACAGCGTTTGGAAGAGGAGCAACAACGTTTCGATCGAGTAGATTCTTGAAAACCTCTATTTCTTTAAATAAGATGCTTTTCTTTGTTGAAGAAACTACATATTCACGCTCAAAATCATGACGGCATCAGTGAACCATCGGAACTAGAGTCTAGTCGACAGGCACCGCCCAAACCCAAGCGACGTCATCATCGTTCGACAAATAATAAAAGTGCATTCGATGATGATAGTTCATTGCACTTCAATTATAGTGAAAAGCAATCGGATTCGACAGCAACAACTACCTCGACGAACACACCGCGAGAAGCAAATAGATTTGTGAAGAAGTCATCGAATGTTCCTGTCTTAACAGAAAAAATCAGTGTGACACGTTCACCACGAGACGTTTCTTCGCCACGAGTGTTAACGAAACAAAGTGCAAGTAAAAATCTTCAACCACCAACTGCTGTAGCGTCTTCCGGTCTACTCGGCCAGTCGTCACTTCTTGCTCGTGCTACTCGTCGAACCCAGCTATACACACAGGGTATTGAACTAGAACCGGGAACATTTGCTCAAGGTTTAGATGAAGATGAGTCGAGTTCCGATGCAACATCAACAAGTACTTCAAAGAAGATAGCGGCCGGAAGAAAAACTTTTCTTAAGAAGCCAGTAAATAATGCACCTAACAGTGAAGTACCTGAACTTCTCCATCTGGATAGTGAAACAAACAATAGCGAACAAGAAAAGAAGAAATCTAAACATAGGAAGAACTCAAGAGCACCTTCAGGTACGCGACAGTGAAGTTACAATTACTGGAAATCTTTATCATTTGTTATTTACATTTAGTACATGATACCGAAGATGATTCGTCAATTGATTTTCTCGGCGATGGTTCATCAAGTGAAGGTCGAAAAACACCAACCTTAACGCCAAGAAAAGGCATTCTTAAATCCCCAAAAGTAAATTATACAAACTATGAAACACACTCACACTCTCTCTTTCCGTTGTAGGATTATCCGAAAGAAAATGAACATTTTGTACAATTTTCCAAGAAATTGGTTACTGTTCAAAGTAAAGACGACTCAGTTGTGAAAAACATCTTACATTTAATAACCCATTTTCTCGTCGTCTAGGTGATGATGAACGTGCGCCTACACCAACAAGAACTTCTCGTTCGACAACCCCACGGCGCGTACAGATAGCAAAGCCGCCGTCGCCTATTGATGATGCCATACCGTCCGAAACAGAATCGATCTCAACCGCTATTGACATTGCAAACGAAAACGATTATAGCATCCCATTTAGTGATCATGTTAGTGAATCGGTAGCCGACAATATGTTTGCAAATTTAGTGATGAATGATGAACCTTTGATAGCACCTACTGTGACGACCAAATCACCACGACGTACATCTCCAATTGGTACAACAAAAAAGTCGTCGACAACACCAGTTAAAGATCATTCTTCACATCGCACTCTATCGGATATTAGTGATGAAGACAATACCAGAACGGACGATATTCCTGAAGAAATCGGTGCGGATATTTATTCAGAAGATTTCTCTTCGGCTATACATACAGAAACTTCAACACCACGAGTACCGACTCCAACAAAAGTTCGCATAGAGAAACCGGTACAACCTGATCCGAACAGATCGACACGAAAAGCAACCACCGAAAATCAAGAAGTACAAGTTGATTTGACCTCTACTCCATTTCAATCATCTCTAAATCAAGGTTGATTTGCATTCTTTTCGATTCTTCTAATCTATTTCTAACTATCGTTCTAGTTCATTCCATCTATCTAATTAATCAGAATGACTTAAATGAAGCTCGTCCTTCGGCGTTGATTCGTTCTGTCATTGAACCAAATGTTCTTCAATCTCTTCTCACGACAAATCCTGTCCTACTAGCTGTTGATGATTTAATTCGAGAACAGAGTTCACTTTTAAGATCATTCATTCAATTGCAACGAACATATTATGAATCTACCATACGAAGCATACGTCCAGAACATGTTTACATAACTAAAGATAACTCACTTCGAGTAAGTCGAAGTTCCACCGATGAGAAATGTTTAGATAAACTTTCTTTGCTTAGTACATTGCTGAACAGCAACAATCTCGAATGTATCACCGATCAAATGACGATTCAATGACCAATTAATTCCTTATATGCATATATATTTATAGTTCCTCGTGTATTTTTTATGTTACTCTGTAAAACGAAGGCAAAGTTATGAATAAACTGATCCGAAATCGATTTCAAACATCCATGACAAAGACTTTGTTTATTCACTAATTAAACACTGAATAAAACTTCTTTTGGCAAAGCCTGTTATGAAAATAAGAGAGAGATACTTTACATCTTCATTCTCGTCACCGAATTTTCGCTATTTTTTTCAAAACATTCCTTATCAATTTTCTGTCAGATATCACCTTCATGCTTACAAAGCTAAAGTAAACTCATGTGACAAACGAATGTCATCAGATGTGATTTCTCTTGCTTTCATGTACTTATCCCTTCAGAGAAGAATCACACCACCTTCTCACCGAATGCTCAAAGATCAAAGTCCATCTGTACTACTTTGAATTTTTCTTATCATTTTTATCTGATAGAAATTGCGCCGTTCTTACTTGGTGTATGCTCTCACTCATATATAATACCGCAACTCTTTGTTATCTCTTCAGTTATACATCTTCATACATTTCGTCAAAGCTATTCTTACTTTTTTCTGTAAGTGTTGTTCGCAACTGTGAAGAAGAAAACCGCAGTGTTATGATTTAGATCCTCCTCGATATTTCCTATGTCAAACTGAATGTTGAATTCGAAACGCGCTGCTAAACCCGTCCGTAAAACTTGGAAAAACGTGAGTTCGCTCGAGTATTGAGAGTTCAGCGCTCATTTACTTTCTTATTCTAGCAACCTGCTTCATCACTTGGTAAAGCCGTTCTTAAAGATTGATCTCTACTCCACCAATTGACTTTCTCTCCGCTCGTAATTCATCCATTTGCTTGCTTTTCAATACTTTCCTTTTCACTTGAACTTACCGAATAACTATCTTATTCTCCTTCACACAATGGCCGAAATCAATAGTTTATCCAAGTAAATCAGACACATTTCTCATCTACTATATTTTCTTTACGTTCGTATAGAGTTCTCCGCACAAGCAGCATTTCGTCTGATCAGGATGCTGCATCAATTCCTTCATCATCCCGTTCAGCATCACCCAACTCTAACTGGACCATTCAGTATAAACCTGCATTCCCAAGCACACGCAAGGGTATTTGGGATGGTTACGAAACACAAGAAGAATTTATGACAATGCACCTTCGTTAAACACCAGTATGATGCCCTTCCGCTTCTTCCTGCCCTTCTAGATGTGCATTGTTAAATGAACTGCGCCTTTTCCCTTTTTTTTTCATTTTAATCGCTTTTCTTTTTCTTTTCATACCGGTTTTTCTTTGCCTTTAATAAATTGTGACGAAACTAATGGAGATGCTCCGAGTTCATTACCTTAGGAGAAGCTACTCTTCGGTAATGACAGCCCAAGATCACTTTATAACAGCGATTGATATTTTTAGAAAACTTTGCAATCTGTCACTTTCGAAAACCATTAATTATTCTTCATTTGTCATTGAGTATGGAAATGAATTTTTCTATAAATTATTGAGTATACGTTAAAGTCAATCCCAATGTATCACACACAAGAAATTTGTAGTCAAAACACGCTAATTCTCGCATATACGTATCAAATTATCGTAAAAAATCACCAATCATATCGCAAGAGATATTAATCGCGTTACAAGTGCATCGAGAATTCTTCTAGCCCATGCATTTTCGCTCCCAAATGCAAATTTCATTTTCCATATATATAGTTCATCAATTCGATGTACAATTATGTGATGTTCGAGTACTATCGAAGCAGTCTATAGATCACTTAAGAGGGAAACGAAGCGTCTCTTTCCAATCCCGAAAGGATTCTCCGATCTTTGTTCGTCTATGAATATGAATATTGTTGACATTCCTGTTAGAACTATTAATTGAGTTCACGAACACTTTTTTCCTGCCATCGAAGAATAACTTGCTAACATTCATATCTATTTTTATAATAATTAGTTCACATATTGGAAATTTCTCGCGGCACTTTGGAGATTTGGAGTCAACTAGTTGGGTATATGAATGGCCTTTGTATTTGGTGTGAGACATGCACATTTTCTTTTAGGCGTAATAATATAGTTGAATATCGAGCTAGCTAAAGCTGAAGCGTAAGAAAATAGTGCTCGACACGATATAAAACCAGTTTTCCGGCACAATAATGCATTTCTTCGCACATAATGAAACAAAACCGGATGTAGTTATACATCGTTTTTAGAAACTAAAGTGTTCGTTAGGAGAACATAGAAAACTTAATAAATAAGACGAGTCGAAACCGATATTGACATATAGGTACTAAAAAAGTAATTAGATACTGTTTACTATCTTTCATTTCCTATCAATATTCACATTATTATCCTAACCTTTTGTCTTGTATATGTCCAATCCGGTAATTATCTTCGTTACCGTTTATGATCTTGTCTTCGATAAACGCGTTGATTGTTTTCAAAAATAGAATAGTTTGTTTTTCTTTTTTTTTAGTAAATTCAGCTTTTATATATAATCATCACCCTCACCCTCACTATCATCATTGCTACTAAGCTGGTTATTTTCTATTCGAAGATTAGCACCATGTGTTTACAATCGAGCACGACTAGAAAAGCTTTCACTGCTTATAGATCAGACTTTGACAACGATGGGATCGATGATGAGGGTGATGAAAAAGAAAAAAAGTGTTTATATATGTCCCATAGTAAGATTACAATTAAGAGTCCAAAGATAATTAAAAGTAAATTTTGAATTCGTTGGAGATCTCTTGATGTTTGAGCCATTGTTGTTTTCTGCAATGTAATGGATTCTTTCAACTAGAACGAAACTTATGCGTATCGAAATAAACGAAACAAGAAACAATTTTGTTACTATTTTCTGCATCTCACTCAGAGAAGAATCAGGAGAAGTAGGTGATGAGCGCATTGGACTGATTTCATCGGACTGTTTTATTATTGGAGCAGATGGTGTCTTGCGACCATTCTCAAACGCACATTTTAATCTATGTGATAAAAAACCCGCCAATTCCTGTTTATGTTAATCGAACAGATGAGAACTTACCGATGTTCATAGAGTGCAGAACTCGACACATGCTTCCAGAATTCAACCAATTGTGCTTGTTTGAATTCTTGACTGATCAATGTCCAGATAATTAAAAATTTCTCTTTATTGATCTCGTTCGATAATGTACAATAAGCTAAAAAGAGCACAGGTATTGCATATTCTCTCCTATTCATAGATCTTTTCTGATAACCTTTCAACAAGTAAACGTTAATTGTTGCTGTTTCACCAGGATGGAGTAGACTACATCCGGGTTTCACGCGGAACTTATCTGGTGAGGTTGTTTTGATTTTGAACGTTAAGAGCTTATCACCCGTATTGGTTAACAATATTGTTTGAATACAATCAGCAGTTCCATGTGGAGGAGGATCTATTCTTTCGAAAACCAACTCATCATGTGGTCTAAATAGTTATCTCGTTAGAAAATCCGAAGAGAATGAAAGAGTTTGATAGTCGAACCTAATGGCAAGTCCATGGAAAACTTTTTCTTCGCCAACATATCCATTAACTGTCGAAGGTTTTTGTAGAATTGACTAATGCAAAACAATTCTTAAACGAATGTATTACTAAATATTTACTTTTCGAACAGTTGACAGAGATGTTTCGGTCGTGGGAAGAGAATAAGCAGGTTCTTCGGGAGTTAATGGATCTTCCATCGGTGATAATTCCACTTTAGGAAGATGATTTACTGTATTCGAAAGCGTTTCCGATGAAAGGGGTAAATCAAGTAAGCCAGTATCTGCAAACGTCACCTAATTGAATTGATCAACTGATAAAATATCCTGTGAAAATAATTAATGTACTTTTTTCTTCGAATTTGCATTCATTGAGTCTTCTACAGCGTCGTTGATTGGGTCATGAATGTGAACGTAATTTGTAGCATCCTAAACGAAAAGAAATGATTATTAATCAGCTAATTTGTCACATCATTTATTGTTTCCTGCGCAGCTACAATCCAAGTAGTTTGTTGCTCTTCGATTACTTTGATAAAAATCTCATTTAAATATTTATAGGAACAGACGAGAAAAATTAATGAATAGAAAAAAAAAAGGCAACGCTATTTTTATCAGTTCAATCGAACATCTTCGTTTCCTATTCACATACATCATTAAGATTGAGAGTTTTGTGTGACATGGTTAAATAGATAAGACACTAGAGAACGTTGTTAGTCGTTATTGAATAATCTGAAAAACTTTTGTTGCTGTTGTTGTTCCTGCTACTGTTTTGGCGATAGTCGACATCGTTCTTTCATTGTCGTTCTCTTCGTCGTTTTTTCCAATACTGGTCGTAGACTTGTCGTTCATACTGAGAAAAAAAGAGTAACAAGGTTCACTCGTTTTTATGTGTGTGTGTGTGCTTATATGCTCGATTCTAATATGAAAAATAGCAGAACGAGAAACGAGAGCGAGAGAGAAATGAAAAATGATGACGTATATAGTAAGGCCGACAAAAATAGAACAGAAAAAAAAAGAAGACGAAGAAGAACAAAGAAATAGAATAACAACAACGTTTATATTTCCACGAATGGCCGTAACACGTGTGTATCACCAATCTTTCTGGCATTAGTCTATATCTCATGTTGCAAAAGAATGCGATTAGGACAGATAGAAAATTAAAAAGCCGGAAATAGAAATAATAGCTTTCTATCGAAGTCAGTGAGAATCTCACATGTTATCTATTCAAGCATACAAACTGATATATCTGTATCAGATGAAAACAGATAACATCACTCGTTGTAGTATGTGTATCTGTAATTGAATCAATTTTCTACTTCACTTACAGTACCGCCCATCGATGTTGACAATTGATCAGTTGACACGTACTGCGTGATTGACTTAGCATCAACGAATTTTATAAATTGTTCTGCTTCGGTAGGCAGCCAGGAACGAATTATTTTCCACGCCGCTATCAATTAAATTCGAGTTTTTCCTCGACTAGAGGACAACAAAATATTTACCTGTCAAGATAAATGGCATTTTGAAGATAAGCATATAGGCTGCAATGTATGGTATATAAAGAGAAGGATTAAAGGCAATATCTAAGCATACCTAATAAACCGGGATAATAAATTTGTCCGCAACCAATGACAAATTTCACCAAATCGTAATCCTACGAGTATAAGATAGCAATCGAATGCATCAGTTTAAATACAATACGAACTAAATGTTTAAGACCGGTTTCACTCATATCAAATAGAATCACAATTGATTGGCCAGGATGACGACGTGTGTGTCTTTCGAAATTATATGTTATAAAGCGTTTGACTGCTTCATTATCCTCTTGACCTTTGTTAAATGTTCGCACAACAAAGTGAACTAGAAATAGGCAACGATCAATAGAGTTTAACAAGAAAAGTCGATCATTTTGTTTTACGTATAGGGTTGTTGTTTGTGTCATGATTTTTAAAATAGATTGCATTGCGATCAAAATAATTGGCAGGAAACTCCTCTGGTGAGATGTCTATAGAAGAACGAAGAGAATTATTATTTACACGATGATGAAAGACAATATTAGTTCTATTTCCAGGTTTCTTTACCATAAACATGGTGCTCTTTCCTCCAACTCAACGAAGCGTTAAACACGCTCATCGCTCGATCTTCATCAAAAGTTGCTCCGAACTGTCCATGGCGGATGAACATCATTGTGTACTCATCAATTTCATTGAAACGTTGGAGATCACGTGGATCATACAATTGACCTTCATCAATTTGTTCTAGTTGAGAGAGAGAGAGAGAAAGCACCGAACATGTCTATATTAATGAAAAATGAAGCGATCTACTTTCGAAATGATTATTTACTGATTCTCGGAATCGATTAACCTTTAAATAGATACAAAGATTAATTGATATAAACGAGATGAAACATTTGATTTTTACTGATATCAACTGTTGAAATGTGGGAATCGATGACGCCATATGCAAAGTAAAATGTAAAAAATAACAGTGAGATGTGTTATACTAAAAACAAGATAAGACATACGATAAAAATTTATCGTTTTTACAATTTACAAAAAACAAGGCTTGTTTTGCGGATAATCTGAAATAATAAGATAGATAAATATGCTTTTCTTTTCAATTATATCGAACATCCGTTGCGCAAATCTCCTCTGGCTCTTCACAATATTGGTTTTACACTCGAATAAAGATCTTTTTTTCTTCGAGAGCGTTAATGATATTCAGCGTTTCTCTTTTCATAACAAACAGTGTAACAGCAGTCGAAATCATTAGAATTTTGCGAACGATAAAGAAAATGGGAGTTCACACGTTCGAATAGAAATGGATAGAACAGATCTTCTTTGCATTTTAGGTTAATGGAGTCGAGCAGATTAGCATTCATCTTCGTCGGCGTAGTGATCAGTGAGTATGCAAACTTCGCACTCTCATGGGAAATCTCCAGCATTCCAATGCTCTACAGATTGTTCCAATAGTGTATCCGAAAAGAAGCTCGAAATTGATACTTATCTCGGTTTTAATCAGATTTAACCAAGAAAAAAGCGGAATAAAACTTATTCACGGTGAAGGTTGATGAATACAGCGAAACGATTATATATCTCTTACAGAAAACTTACTCGGAAGAAGTAATACTATATTCTCAAAAGCTTCTTCCCATTTCTTAACGTAATTGAATCTTGCGCATCACAGCAAATTATAAGTATAAATAAGAATTCCTATTTATTATTCATTTTGACCTAACTCATCATATATCTAAAACGCAAAAAAATCAGGTCATTTATCGCCGAATCAAACGAAACTTTTAAAAAAGCTCGAGTTAAATCAAAATGGTGGAATATGCTAAGGTGTATCATTTGCAGTACCACCCATGTCTTTCGATAATTGATCGAGTGATATATATTGACTTATCGTTTTTTCATCGACAAATTTAACTGAATTCTGTGTTTCAGTTGGTAACCATGTTTTGATCAGTTTCCATGCCGCTAAAATAAATTTTCCACGAATCGGTTCATTTTTACTGTGCAAAAAGTATTTGTCTCACCTTGTAGTATAAACGGTTGTTTATAAACAAGCATATATGCTAAAACCATCACAGATATGTAAGATAGAATATGATTAAAACAAGAGGATATAATTACCGAGTAAGCCAGGATAGTAGTGCATTAAACTATTTACAACAAACTTAATGAGATCGTAATCCTATGTTTGAAATAAATGCGATATTGTTAAAACAGTGTAAGATATGCTATACGAACTAGATGGCTAAGACCTGTTTCTCGTAAATCGAATAGAATAACAATACGTTGACCAGGGTGATTTCGTATTTGTTCTTCGAAGTTATACGTTATGAAACGTTTCACTGCTTCGTTATCTTCTTGTCCTTTGTGGAAGACGCGAATAACATAATGTACTACGCAGAATTTCGGAAGAAAATTACCTAGAACAATACCTTCATATCTCAGACTTACATAATGGTATGTTATTCATATCATGATTCTGAAAATAAATAGCATGTCGATCGAAGTAGTTCGCTGGGAATAGATCAGTCGACATATCTACCAAAGAAATATGTATTTTAAACGAAGTTGAGATGCACTCATACCGTAAACTTTGTTTTGTTTTCGCCATGTCATTGTTTCATGAAAAATACGAAATGCTTTCTGCTCATCGAATGTTTTACCATACTGCAAATGTTGAATGAACATGCGGGCATAATCATCGACATCGTTAAAACGTTTTATGTCACGTGCATCATACTCTTGACCTTCATTGATTTGCTCTAAGCAAACGAACGGTAAATATTGGCGACAACAACTGCAAACGAGAATTCTTACTAGAAAAATGGTTATTTACCGCTTTCCGAAACTCTTGCACCTATACAGAAAATAGTGGAACGTCAGCAATTGTTTCAAAAGTAGCATCCATATAAATTACTGTAGTTAACGTCTGGTATGTGGGTATCGAGGTGGCCATACCGGTCAGCAGGTAAAATGAATGTATGAGCCGAAAAGATAGTGCACGGTAATGGAATGACAGTGAATATAACAACAAGAGATAAGGATGATATATCTTTGTGCATGGCTTGAATGTGTATGGAATTTGTCAGTATGTCAATAGTTTTCTCAATTCAACAAAATGTGCAGTGTATCCTTCGATATTTGACTTGTCTATGAATCTACGAAATTCAACAATGTGAGGTAACGTGAATTTCTCAGTGAACCATCTAGAAAATATATTTTATCGATATCGGAATTGTCTAATGTTATTTCGTGAAAGAAATTCAAACTAACAGGATGATGGTCAAAAGAGGAATCTCGAAGAACTCTGTGACGATTTCTTATGGCGGAGATGTACGCATTAATAGACCATGTTTTCATTTATCTCTTCCTCTCAAAAATTGTGTCATACTGGTATGAAACATACGTTTATACGCTTGTTCGTCAACTAGAGGAAGAGGAGAGGTAATTGAAAGCATATCGAAATGTACCCAAATAAAGGTAGACAGCAGTCACAAAGCGCCTGCAGGAGAGAGCGTAGTAAAATATATAAGAGAAGAAAAACATAGTCTTGTTTTCTAAAGTTGGTATTCTATCGTTGTTTTTACAAATAAAATATATAAACAACATTGCGAGACTATCTATCTGATCATAAGATGCAGTAACAGAAAAAATGAATATGTATATATATATATATGTATATTATATTTTTATACAAAGTTGTCATTGAATCATGTTATTCTGAGATCGTTGAAAATGCTCATATCTGGTTTGCACAGTTGTTGGTTTCAGTAGAGATTCAATTCAAACATAGCCATAACGATCGTGATATTCGCTGTGTGCGTCACGAATTTTCTTTCGTTCACTTTCTAATAGTTTCGCTTGCTCTGGTACCACAACGACTGTGCTAGCATCATTCCCATTCTCGTCCGTCTTCTTTTCCGGTTCATCATCACCGTTGGCACGCGATGCTTCAATAACCCGCTGCGCTGGCCACATCTTCGTTCTAAAATACGATCTCAAATCAGATCTATCTTTAATGAATGCATCTACATACACTTGATCAGGTCCAACAGCTTGGCCTGGTCTCAACGAATTAATTTCCGAAGCAATATGTTCAGCATGAGTACTTTCAATACCAATCAAACGTGCCAGATGTTTAATTTGTTCGACAGGTTCACTATGTATACTCTCGTAACGAAAATCACCTTTAGCCATAGCACGCCAATATTCGTATGCAGTCATGTATGCTTTCAGTCTGGAAAGTATCACACCAAGATCATGTTTCATCCAACCTAAACGTATATACCAGAGAAAGGTATGCTATTTCTATGAATTTCATATCTTTTAAGATACCGATGGTTAAACAATCATCGATGACGTCGCGTAAATCTCGATGAGCTACGAATACCTTGTATCCATGTCCGGAGCGATCGAGACCTTCTGCCCAATCGGAATCGGGTATACGCATAGTACGTACAACCAATGGTCGACCACAAGCTTCAATTAAACGCGTTTCGAGATCATTCTTGGTAATATGATTCAAACGGTAACTATCACCAGGACCAAATGCGGATTCCTCGTGGATGAGCAGTAGTCGCACAGCGTTGAACAACCAAGATGTTCCTTTGAAAGAAAAACGATCCTGCATTCTTAGAGGTAAACAAAGATTTCAAAACGTACCGGAACGTTCGGGTCCAGCGATAATGTAAACCTACGCGTAACAAAAGGAAATCAACGAATTTCGACGGTATTCAAATCGCACGTACTGGGCCAAATCGTTTGGACTGCTTTGAATGTAGCCTCATTGAGAATGACTCTCGGTAGCGTTCGACTAATGAATAAACAAAATTAATTTCAACTCAACTGCAAGAAGAATTTGGTTAAAACCTACTTGCTTGCTTTTCTTCGTCTGTTTGATGTCGATAGTTACACAAAGCATGGCAATACTTTCCTCGAAGGTAGTCGGGACAATCGAACAATTTGGGGTATGTCTCTTCCATTGTCTCAATTGATCGAAAATATGTGCAGTTGATTTTTATTTGCCAGAATGTGTAGAAAGATAAGTGAGTGCAACTGTGTCTGACTGACTGACAAAAACGAAGCCAATCTATTGGTCAAATATTAACGTCGTAGAATATTTTCCATAGATGTCGATCTTTCCTTTCTCCCCATCACCTTCATTCAATTCACAAAATATCGAGTTGGTCTCGTTCTCTTTTATTTCTATTAAAGATTACAAAAGTCGACAGTGTTGAATTTCCTGGATTAAAAAGGAAGAAAAAAATTGTTAGAACATTAGAATTCATCAAAATTATTCCTAAGTTTGTCTTCGCTACAACACATGGCATTAGCAAAAAAAGAACATCATAATTCACACGCGACTGAACTACATACATAAGAATGTAGAAAACAAACAAAAAGAAAGTTATTCAACGAGAATAGAAATGTTTCTCTAGCTGTAAACGACTTCGTCTTAGAGAATAGATTGCTATAGATAGAAAAGTTCACTTGTTGTGTTATACATACTGTTTTGTGAGTGCAAACAAACAAAAAAAAAGATGATCGAATGAAAAGCATGTTTTTATGTTCGTAATGATGACTGTAAATGTCGACGATTAGCAGGCGCTTTATTCGCTTTTTTAACTAGAACACTACTGGTTAATTCTGCCTTCCTCGCTCGATCGTCAAAGGTTTCATTCGTTTCACGAAGATATTCCCGAAGATCTTGAGATGATTTTGCCAACGAGCGAGACTAAGATAGAAAAGAGAAAAAGATTCAAACGAGAAAAGTTGAAACGACTTACTAAATTCATTGCTTCTTGCTTATCATTGATGAAGTGTCTGGTTCGTCGATCTTTTTGTCTAAGGTCATTACCTAATTCGTATCGACGCTTTTGTAAATCAAGTAATTGTCTAAAAACACATAATCGGAAGTAAAAATGCTTGTATCAAACGGTATGTTATACTGTTCGTAGTTCTTTGCTTGTAAAGTCTCATACAGGTGCCGAGTATGACGAAGTTTATCGACTTTGCGACGAAGTTCAGTTTGTCGACGCTCATCAGCCATTGTTTGATCCTATAGACAGGTAGAATTTCGACTCTGATTTTTATATATCGCAGGTCTATTACAGAAAGGTCGTGTAATAACGACGAATATCGTTCGATTTCTTTTTCCGTTTCCGTTCGACGAGCATTTTCTCTTGCCTTTTGAATTTTCAATTCATGATCATAACTGAAAACGCAAATCATTCAGTGAGATCCAGTGAATGATTATATTTACGTACTGTCCGAGTAAAATTTCATATTGTTTCTTTTCAAAAGCGGCCACCTCAGGATCATCTCGTACTGCTGAACGTGCTGCGCGTCGCTCGATGATCTCTTTGACATTCTCCAAGCCATTCCTAGATGGAAAATGCATTTCAACTAAGTATAATCAAAATAGCGACAAAGAATACAAACATATATCGATCGTTGCTATGTTGTTTTGATACAGTATCGGATGTACTTATACGCTGGAGACTTTTGTTCTAGAAGACAAGAATGATTGGTTACATATGTCAATACAATGAACGCACCAAACGGCGAACATCATCAACGAAATGGGCTGAAGTCGAAGCTCGAGGATCGTACTGGTCATCGCGATCACCGTTTTGATAATAAGGTGAAGGCACTGGAGGCGGCCATCGAGCACTTGAAGACTTCAGAATCGAGTTTGAGACGGTAGAACGAGTTGCCGATGTTGGCCTCGGGGGAAGTTCGGCATTCGCTTCATATTCTGGATATCTTATTCCTGTGCTTGAGTAAGAATGTGTTGGGACACTACTAATCGTCGTTGGTTCATGAAGACCTTGAACAAGGGAACTCGATGGATTGAATCGCGTTTCAGAATATGGCCTATCAAAGAACAAAATGTTGTCATGTTAATGAATGTTTAAAAAACAATTATTGATTACCGTCGGTGTATTGAAGTTTCATGCACATGTGTTGGTTCTTAAGAAATCGATTGATGATTAGTGGAGGAGATAAGACATAAAAGAATTCTTACGCGGATCTACTGTTCGCGATCTTGAGGCATGTGCGAGTGTTTCTTCTCGGATAATCTTTTCACGTTCTTCTCGACAGCGTTGCAATTTAGCTGCAAAAGACAACATAATTCGAGTAGAGCTAAATACTCTTCAAACCTAATCGATCGACCTCCATTTGATCTCGTACATTTGATAATGTTGAAAGACGAACTTTCTCGGAGCCAATGTCATCTTGTATATCAGCTAATCGTTTTGGGAGCAATGTCACAGGCTACAAATATAGTTGTATACATCGATAAGGATGCATAACTTCGATTGACTTCTTCATTTTCCTTACCTTTATATTTAGCCGAGAACAAGCTTCAAGTGAACGTGGACTCGTTAGAACATATTTCGAATCAGCATAATCAATATGATCAAAATTATAGAGATCAATTTTCAATTGACCGCGATTCACTATTGAGCTGCTAACAGGTCGTCGACGTTCATAGCGTCTGTACGATGATGATGACGATAGAATTGGCGTTCCAGTTGTTGGACGTTGCAAATTTAAACAACCAGACGTATCGAAAAACCGTGTCGCATCATTTCCACTCATCTCTAAGTTACCCGTATTCTGATCCGTTCTATCCCTTCACTTTTTCAGACAATGGTAGCCATGACATCTTTCGTTAACTAAGCAATGCCTCCGCCATGAGGATATTCTTCCCTCCAATCACCACTAATATAAGAAAGGAGAGTACAATAATCAAAGGAATATTTTTCATTTGGATAAAAGGACATATTTGATAATATTCGATTGCATAATGAAAACATGCAGATTCTATTCCACTATCAGCTGATGTATAAATAACTGTAAACTTGATGACCGCAATTTTCTTTTTATGGTATTTGTGAAACATGATAGCTTGTCGTTGTGTTGACATTGTTTAAGATTACGAGCAAATCAATGAATTTTTCAGTTCTAATTAATATGTCGATGTGACATTATTTTTAATTTTGATATCCTATCTGTGTTCTAGACAAGAATCCCATCGATAAAGTATTATTTATTGATTAACAACGAAGCTCAATGGCCGATAATATCATAGGATTTGTCAAAGAGAAAGGAAGTGCGTTAGTGTCATCCATTCAAGAACATGTCACCAACATGAGTGACACAACAGGAGCGTTGGCAAAACAAAAATTACTCCAGACATTGATTTCGTCGGGTGCTGTTCAGAGTGAACATATTCGACATGCACTTCAGATTGGTATGTGAAACACGTCTTTGCTTTTAGAAAAAGAACACTCTATGTACTTAGGTATTGGATATTTCTTTGACTGTCATTCGAACAGAGCTCATTTGTCCTCGGAATATGTTCAACGAGAGAAGTTTCCGGCAAAAGGTGGTACTGGAACGCCGATTCATTCATTACCTGATTTTGATATCGAAGCGTACGGACTTCCTATATTTTATGAGCTAATGAATATTTACGGCATTGATCCAGCAACATTAAAAAGTCATATCTGTGAGAATGAATTAAAGGAGATTGTTAATCCATCGAATTCTGGTTCACTTCTCTATCTCACATCGGATTCAACATTTCTAATCAAAACCGTTCGAGATTACGACGCTAAATTCATTCAACAGAAGTTTCTAAACGGCTACTTAGACTATGTCAAACGGACACCGGGCACATTCATTGCCAAATTATTCGGTAGTTTTGGTTACATCCCATACATATCCCCGGATCGTGGAATAACGGTTGATTCGTTTACTTTACGATTTGCGATCTTCTCAAATTTCATTCCACCAAAACTTGAAATCCATGAGAAATATGACCTAAAAGGTTCATCCTATGGACGTGACGCAAATGCAACGGAAAAAATGAAATCATCGGCTACATTCAAAGATAATGATTTCCGTGAAATTCATCCACAAGGATTCAAGTTACCTAAAAGTGTTTACTTTCATCTAAGAGAAGTTCTCACACGTGATGTTGACTTCTTAGAAAAGTTAAATATTATGGATTATTCTTTATTACTTGGTAAGTTTGCCGTACAGAATTTCACGATTAACTTCTTTATTTTTCCGTTCAATAGCTGTACATAATATTGATAATCAGGTCAAACCTACACGTGTTGGTCCAGTCGAATCTTTGCTAGGATCGGTTCGTGATACATTCTTGATTGGTATGACACAACAAATCGATCAACATGATACGAAACATAAAGAAGAAAAACCCAAACTAGTATTAAAATTTAAGAAACCAATTGAAACATTAGGTCTTGGTTTTAAAGAAATATCTACATACGATACAGAGAATTCGAAAGAATATGGGTAAGTTGTATTATCAAAGATTTCACAATGAACATCTTCTTCTTTCAGAGGTATTCCAGCAGTGAATGAAAAAGGTGAACGTCTTCTTTTATTCTTCGGTATTATTGATTTATTGCAAACGTAAGTTCTGCCTTTTGCCCTTTGCATCTTTACACTGTCTATCTTTCAATGCTAGATTCGATATTTGCAAAGTGATGCAACGGCAATATCAAACCGTAGAGAATCGTGAGGCGGTCAACGATAGGTCGATCGTTGAAGCTGACTTTTACGCGAAACGATTTAAAGAATTCGTCTTCGAACGTGTTTTCAGACCAGCAGATGATGAGCTTGCCACTCATCCAATCTCAATGAATGTGTTTTCTCAACCCTCACATAGTCAATCAACAGGTCTATCTAGTGAAGCATCTGGAACAGTCGTTCATCCCGAAGTGCACCGACTCTGAAACTTGTTTATTTATTCTGTTGTGCATTTGTTTTTATGATCACATCATGAACCCATGATTTTTGTGTATTTGTCTTATATATTTATTGAATTAAACGAGCAAGAAAAACAATGACACTATCTAACTTTTGTACAAAGACCAAAAGCAGTACGAGTTATACTCATGTGTTAAAAGACATTCAGATGAATAACAACTGTTCGAACATAATAAGGCGCGAAAAGAAAACTTGCACAAATATTCTTTTTCAATTCGAATTTCAAACGTGTATACGAACACAGCTGCTCCGTAGTTTCTTCTTCCTTTTGATATTACGATTAGGACATACATACACAAATGACTGTTGAGAAAAATGAAGGCGTAAATGTGTTGTCACTTATATTCACAACAAGAATTAGAAAAAAATTACAATGATTTTGTTTTTATCAGTTCATTTAAATGAAAACATTGACAGTAATATTGCACGTTAGTCACAATTGTGTCTTTTTACGAGTGAATTGCTATGGATAACACGAAGAATGACATAGCGAGAAAGAAAATAACACATCAAATACTGATTGTAAATCCCTGCTTGTTAGAAAGAGGAATGCAAACAAGACGTAGAGAATCGATTATTTAAATGGATTTGTCGATATTTGATGTCCATGATATTGAAGTGGTGTGGATGGAGATCGAACTAGTGAACGTTTACCAGGCATTTTTGTCAAAGATTTACATAACATGGCAAAATCTGGACGATCATCTGGTACAAACGACCAACATTGGTTGATAATATCCTAATGATCAAGAGAAGATTAGTATTCGTTTCGGCGACTCGAAGGAAAAGAGTATTGGCTTACTTTGGCATTTTTACTAATATGTACACTACTCAATGGTTGTTTCAAGGAATTTCCTGCTCGCCAGATGATGTATTCTGCGAGCTGTTTTGCATAGGGAAATTCTCGAAATAGAAGTTCATACCAAACCGTTCTAAAAGAGCCAAACATTTTTATTTCAATAGATTCGACTGGTTGTTGTTTTTTCTCTCCTACCCAAAAGCGTAAACATCGGTTTGAGGTGTGTGTTGTAAAAGCGTTTGTTCATTTCGTGGATCGAGTTTTCGTATGATTTCGGGTGCTAAATAGCTCAAAAATCCTCGCGGAACGATCACTGCTGGTTGTTCATGGTATCGATAGCATTTACTCAATGGCACTAAACCATAATCTGTTAGAACGACGCGATTATTTTGAACGAAAATATTAGTCGTGCGTAGTGACATGTGATTGATCGACTTTTCATGTAGATAACTCATAGCTTGAGCTATCTGTGCAGCATATTGAACAGCTAAATTGAATGGAATGGAATCATTGCGAATGTGAATCATTTCGAATAATGTTGAACCCCGAATCCAACTGAAAGATGTCAGTGAGAAGAAATTTCGAGGAAAAGAAGACACTTACTTCGAAGCAATAGCAAAATTGGGACTTTCGACTAGAGGAATACATAAATGTTTATCAAATCTTTGCGAGAAAAGAGATACATACTACAAACGCCTGTGTACAAATTCAAATGTTCATGTCGAACTTTCCGTAAGCAGAATATCTATGTAACGGATCATGAATAGATGCGTATTGTCAATAGGAAAGTATAGCGAATTACTTGATTTTTAAATTGTTCCAAGAATTCTACATCGGTAGATTTGGGATTTGGTTTTATCAGTCTTACAGCAAGTTCCCCATGCCAATGTGCTCTGAGTGTAAATTATTTCAATTCCAACTGAAAAATTCTTCATTATTTCTTACTTCATCAATGAACCAGACGATCGGCGAACTTCCTCAATCATTTTAATATTATTAAAACCGATTACCCAATCTTGGATTGAAGTAGGTAACTAATAAACCGTTAGTTATTTAGGATGGTGAAGAAATAAGAAAGAGAACTTACATCCATGCTTCGTTTGTCTGGATCTCCATCGACATCATCATCAATTGAAATTGCTAGTTTTGATTTAAAATCATCTCTAGCAGACTGTTTCGAATCGTTCTATAGAAAACTATGTTTTTCTAATCGATCATCATGATAGAATTAGATTTACTTGTGATAACTGTGAGCAGTATCTATTTGATAGTGTTATCGTTGAATCGGTCAGATTAGTTCCAGTATCAGTTTGAGCTGTTGAACTAAAATAAATTCATGGGAGTAGTACAGAGATTGAGACTATTTGCGATAGATTGATATACTTCGTATCACTATCGGACTGAGATTCCGGGAGTTCTAAAAAGGAACAAATAAAACACGGTCAGCAATAGTGAATATTTTCAAATTTACGTACCTGATGCTGTTTTCGTATTAGTCTCGATGACAACCCAACTATCAGGATCATTTTGAGCTGAAGAAAATGAAGAAATCAGATTTGATTTTGATCAATGTCATACTACACGCAAGCTCAATCGATGAAACCTACTGCAATAGATAGATTCACTGACGTATATCGATGGACTTCCATTTGGTATGACCCCACTGAAATGATAACTAGCTAGCGAAGGATGTGGCGCAGGAGAACCGGGTGCTGATATTGGAGTTGACGGAGTTGGACTGATACTATCCGATGCTAGAATACAAGTACTATTCAGGATATTCACATTGGAGGAAAGGAACATACGAGTGAAATGATATTTCCGCGTCAATGGAGTTGACTTGGCTAAAAGAGAAGACGATTATAGAAACGTTACGAGCTATTCTTTAAATACCGAAAGCATTTTGAATATCAGTATTGTCGATGGCACGGCGAAATTTTCCTTCACTGAAACCACAATTAGTGGGAGCTTGTTGAACGCATTCTTTATGGCATTTGTACCTAGAAAAGAACACAAAGGGACGAATAATGAATTATATAGAGGAACATTTTCAATTAACATAAACACAGCAATCATTTTCCTCGACAAACAAACTGAATCGTGCGTTTTTCTGCAAAGTGTTTGACTATCGTTCTAATTGACATTTGTCAATATCATTTTCGAGCATCTTACTTGCAATGAAGACAAGCCTTTCCTCGAAATAGCTTTCTTCGGCAGACATCACATAATGAAAATTTGAAAACCCGTGTTTTCGCGAACCTAGAAGAATATAATACAACAACAAAAAACTCTCGTTGTCTTTATTCATCTAATGCAATTATTCGCTCAGTTCGCTTCGCAAAAAGAAAATAGAAGAAGAAGAAGAAAAAAGCAATACATGATGACGAACACGTGGACAAATTTTGTTCATAGATATATCTTACTTGCAATTGTTGCATTTGGTACCGAGAAAGAAGATCTTTTTTGTGCATACATTACATGTTGATAATTTCATCAGATTAGTCCATCTGAGAACGAGATAGAAAGAAAGAAAATGTCATGAAAATGTTGTTGAAGATTAGTAGAAGCAATTCTATGTAGAGTTATGTGTACTATAACGATCACCAGGATTAGTAGAATGACAAAGAATAAGAGTGACAAGAAGCGAAAGCGTGAACATGAGCAGAAGATGCAACTAATCTAATTCGTGTAAAAATACGAACTTGTGCTGAATTTTATGTGCCATTCGATGACGAATAACGGGAGACTGTGTGTTGTAAAATGGTGTATCTATTGAAAGATAGTTCATCATTGAAAAGAAACATGAACATTTGAATAATACGATCTACCTGGTGATTTAGGGTCATTTTCTGTATCACTATTATGTGTGGAACCCATCGGCGAACCGGGCATAGTTGGTGAACGTATCGTTGGTGATTTCGGTGTTGCCGTTCCTATTAACATAACAAATGTGAGGACTTCAAGGATACATAGCTGGGGATGATTATATTAGTAAACGCATTAGTTGAGGAGTAGGCATTAACATTCGAGCAATCGAGCAGATAGGAATGTGTGCTAACCCCCTGTGAAAGCAGGTCTACTCCATAAGTGATTCTTGGCAAGTTTCGTGACAAGTTTATTGTCATGATGTTTGCGATTACATGAATTCAATGGCAGGATGTTATTTACGTCAGTTTGTTCAGATTCCGACGCTGTTGCATTTTGATGGATCAATTTTGAAAGTGCTTTCGCGTAATAGTATTTATCGAAGGCTTTTATTGAAAGTTTACGCTTTGCCAGCTGATACGGAAGATTGTATATTTCATTTTCAGTACTACTGTACTCGACATCTATTAGAAGGAAAAGTGATTTTCTTCAAATGATCATCGAATATAATCTATCTAAACAGATGTTTTGCGCTCCCGCACGCGATCTTATTATTCACATATTCTGGATATTCAAGACATCTGCTGAATGCGAGGGCGGTCTCGCTACCACGCTTTTGAACCAAACATGCATCTCCGTCAAGCTAAGTTACAGTTATGCATAAATAATATTAAATAGTTCACATGGAATTCCAAACTAATTTCGGAGGACGATTCTTTTAACTTGTTGATATTAGTTTATGCTTACCGGATTGCAATCGGTTATCCGTATCTGAACCATACGAGCTCCGACGAGATGTTGAACTATCGTCCGGTAATTGTAAATCCATAGTGCGTGACGGATTCACACTACTTAGAAAATAGAATTCACCTTTTATAAATCATTGACTCAAACGTACTTGGCAAATATCGAAGGATCAACTGAGCTTTTTTTGCTGGGATGTTCACATTTTCTTTTTCCATTGACGGATAAATGTGTCGAACGTGTAGGTGGTGGTGGTGTCGGTGTCGCTAGAAGATCAACAAAGGCTTTTTTCAGAGTTCATTGACGTAAACAGTATCTTACGATAGTGTCGTCTTGGATTGTTTGTTGTTGCTGTTGTTGTCATTGGTGTGCTTGTATTTGTGACAGCTCCAAATTCGGTTGATAGAGACGCAGACACCGACGACGATCTCTCAGAATCCGTACTGAGTGGTACTGAAAGTACTAATTAACACTCGAATAACGTCACATTACCGTTCAGTCATATATTTCAATATACCTGTATCTGACAAACGATGCTGACGCGCGGCGTAAGGTGTCATCACTGGTGCTGATGGTGTTTCTATATGCCAATAGAAACGTCCATGATCGTTGGTACCACCATGAAGAAAGTAATCTATTACGAATACAAGAGACATAAGTATGACAAATTAATTCTGCTTGATAAGACATACCAAGACAATCTTTCAGCGCATTGAATGCATTGCGAAAGTCTTTACGTTCAATTTCAGTTGTTCCAGCGTCATATAAAAGCTTTTCGCGTACGGCCGCTTTTCCATTCAAAAGATCATCAAATGTCATGCGCTGTACAATATACTAAAATCAAAAGCAAGCATACAACGACGTCTGAAGTAGATCTAATGAATTGTACTTCAATGGATTTTTTGTTTATATTGACAACAGAGAGGAATCGATCGAGTTTGGGATAATCACTATGAAATCCGCCATTTTGTCCGGCCGGATTTTGCATTTGTACTAACATGAGTTGGTGAGCAAAAAAGCCGATAACACGACTCTAGATAAAAAGAAAATAGAACAAGATCGTTTTCTGTGATATTCTGGACTGAAGTAACCTACTTCATTATTTCGTATCAATTCGTATTTGAGCGACAGATCCGACATGGTTTCACTGTTAAATTTATTTAACTGATCGATAGCGTGAGTCAGAGCATCGTCGAGATAGCGTAAATTCTGTGACACTGTTCGATCATATGGTATTGATGTAACTGGAGTTATCGGTACGAGAGGTTTATCATCGCCATTCTCATTTCCAGGCACCTCATCTGAACTCATGATTCAATCTAGAGAAAGAGCACAAAATCAAAATTATTTCATAGAGTTTTCTAGATAATTTTCCTACTTAATATAGGAACAAAATTGAAAAGAAATCGTGACAATGCGCGAGTTGCAATGACGAGAGTAACAGATGTAAACAGAACAGAATAATCAACAACATCAAAATGATTGGTCGGAAAAGACACTAACCGAAAGCTTCCAGATTAACATCATGGAGTGGCGTACCCTATAAAGTACTATTCTCTCCCTGGAGTCCTTGATTAGCGTGCCCTAGATTCATACTGTTGACCTACTATTAATTGAGACTATATTAATAAATCCGTTGTTATTCTTTCGAACGTAATTCATAAGAATCATTAATCTATTCTTGTTACAATCACCTAATCAGTATTTATTGACTCAGAAGTTCATCGACTGTTTTTACTGAATAATTATGAAACTGCTTTCAGTTAGAGCAAGTATCACAATGATTATACACAATGTTCGAATTGCTAGACAACTGGCGCTTTTCGATAATCAATATCTCGACTATGTCACAAAAATCAACGCTGTTCTTATGGTCTAATACACAAATAAAATTATCCCGTATAATTACATCAGAAATCTCAGCACCGAAAGGTTTTGATCATAAACGACAAGCTTATAACCATGTGCGTCATTTGTTTGTTAAATACAATGATTTATTAAAAAGACTAGACGAAGTATACGTGACAATATTACATCCGCAAAAGCGTTTGATTCTAAAAATTCTACTCGATGGTCTAGTTGGACGATTGATTGAATTGAAACAGGAAATGATGAAGTTCGATGGATGTGAATACACCTATTTTGAAGATATTGCACTTAATCATAATAAAACACTGGTATAGATACTTAGAGAGAAGATTTACTGTCCACATCATTTTCTAGGATGATTTGTGCATTGAAATCCCACGTTATTTCGCACAGGATCGTTTTCAAGCCATTGAACAACGAAACCAAATGATCAAACTAATCCTCGATCGTTTGGAACAATCGAAGAAGGATTATCTTCCAAGAAACTCTTTATTAATAGCACTAAAGTCAGATCAGATTGATACAATCACATTAGCTCATGCTGTACGTGTTATACAAGCTCATGAACGTGCTCGGCAAGGACGTGTGCACGCACACTTCATGCGACAAATGAAAAAGGACGTGAAAACAGTTGAAACGAAGGCATTCAATGATAATAATCTCAGTGACAGTTGTTTAATTATTCAAACTATATGGAGACAGAAAAATGCAGAAAAAAGATTTCATCAGAGAAAACTTGAACATGTCAAACTGTTGGACATGGTGAGGGAGAACGAGAGTACACATCGGTTTCGTGTTTGAATTGATCAAAAGTTCTCTATGTAGGTTTTACCTGGAAGAAATCCCTCGAGCGATAATCGTACGACTGACTGGGATCAAACCAGACGAAATATTCAGATAGAATATCAACAAGAATTAGACGAAGCACCAGATCATATCAAACTGAAACTGAGCCAATATGAAGAAACAGAAATGAAACTACGGTTAGAACATATCCTTATTCAATGGTTACTTGAATCACGACAACTCTATGGACAATTCCCGATCTATCCATCTGGAGATATCAACGGATCTGCGACGCTATTCAAAAACCTAACTATGACGGAAGTTCAAGAATTCGTGACTAAAGTTGGCTAGAGGAAATCACTTCTTTTTCGATTTGTTCTTTTTTTCATTTGTATCTTGTGACAGCAAGCACAAGCATTGAAAAACAAGAAATCCAAGCGAAAGGGGAACAAAAAACAGCTGAAAAAAAACAACAAGAAACCAATTAAACAAGTATTTCAATATTCACAGTCTCAGTCTGATCTCTTTCGTTCTCAATCTAGAAAACACAATTGAATACGTTAGAACCCTCAAAATTCGTTCCGATGATAAATAATCAATTAGGTGTTTACAAAGATCTTTTCTATGAACGAGATGAGTCTTACAATAGTGAACAACGGTACGATCGATTGTTATTAATGGATGAGTTTCGACCGGCAGTAGAAGAAGAACTACGGCATGATGTCGATAATATTCTTCGCAATGAATTAGTCTATCTGAAATTAGCTATTGATAATACTGAAGATAAGCCAATGAAGAAATCAAAGAAGAAGAAGAAGAAGAAAAAAAGGCAAAGAAAGAAGAAAGGGAAAGATTTAGTTTCAAACCGGTAACGAAAGCACTGATTTAAATCAATTTGTTATAAAGAAACTTCTTAACGACTAATAGAACACTCGATTCAATCTTCGAAGAACTTGTGGAAACGAAGATCATTCTACCAACTGAGCTCGTTCGTCAACATGATTTTATCGGCGATTATCAATACTCAGCGGAAACTATACGTTTTAACCAAAAAGAACCGATGCCATCGTTACTCGACTGTCAGCAACTAGTTAATTTACAAATCGTTTTTCCACTTTGTAACAATATGAACGTGATTTTTTCCGCTCAACTTATACATTCTACCCAGATAGGCTCGCAGGAAGTGCATTTGAATCTCGCACCATACAAAGCTATACTTCTGGCTGGACCACATGGCAGCGGAAAGGAATTATTAGTGCATATTGCATGCAACGAATTAGGTGGTCTACTACTCGATCTTTCACCTGCTAATCTGATGAAATCCTTTAATACATGTACGGAAACGAAGCCTTAGGAGAATTTCAGTCTGACTTGCTTGTTCGATACGCAGTCTGGTGAAATTCATTTTTCTTGCAGCAAGAAACTGTATTATAGTCTCATTTATTTTTAGCTGATGGTTTAAAAATACTCTTCGCAATGATTAAACGAGTCTGCTCTGCTGTCCTTGTTTGAAAATCCAACTTTAATTTCTTTTTGGTGATAGTTGGTATTAACAATGTCTCCAATCCTTTGTATGATTCGCGACACCGAACTACTTTTTTCAAAAAAGCTTACACAACAGGAAAAACAGTACGAACCAAAACGATTCAAACGACTCATACAGCGATTTATCAAACGAATCAAACCTGGCGAGCGAATCATGTTCATTGGTCTCTCATCACAGCCATATCGTGCTCGAATAAAACCTCTTTTTCAAATCTATCAAAATATTGTTCTCTTTCCGAAACCTAACTATGGTTCTCGGCGTAGTAAGAAGATCGTTATCTATCCCATCCAAATCATTTTCTTGTTTTATAGGAATTTGTTATGAAATTTTAGTTGAACGAAATCATATGAATATCACTGATGTAGAGCTCAGTATCTTGGCGTCGATTTCAAAAGGTTATACAGCTGGACAACTTCTCGAAGCGATCTACAAAGTGCTCAAAATGAAACAGAAAACTAAATATGTGAATAACGATTGTACAGCAAAGGATTTTATTCCGATACTTGGCTTGAACACGCCAGTTTTTATTGATGAAGAAAATAAAATAAAAGTAAAACAATGAAATGAATTACTTCGATAGTTCGTGTACGAAATCTTATCCTATAGAATTGGTATGCTAAAACACCCAATGGTGTTAAACGGTTGAAAGAGATGGCTCAAACACCGACGAAAACAAAAAAATCTTCATTAAAAAAATGAACTCACATCTCAGCTCGTTGTAAAACAAGTATTTCTGCTTATTCCTCACGTACATTTGTGTTTGCATATACATACATATACAAGAAAAAGAAGGCGAGATTATTTTAATGAAGACTAGAAATCGGCAAATAAATCAAGGTCTTTATCCGATGCGAATGGTACCGAGCGCCAATCTTCTTTGTATTCATCGAAACAAGACGTGTCACCTGGATGTTCTAGAGGAGGCACTATAGGCGGTTTGAGTTTTCGTGCATATACATCGTCCCATTTGATGGAAGAAAATATTGCTTGTTCTTTGACTTCGCGTGAACCATTCTTACCAGCACCAAGACGTTTGTCAGCATTTTGTATTAATAACTTCTTAATGAAGGATTTTGTTACATCGTCGATAGTACGCGGCCATGAGATTCGACCAGCCAAGACACGACTGGGAATTTCGATTTCATTTTGATTCGGATTAAATGGTGTATCTAAAAGTGAGACCAGATAGAATTCGAAAACAAAGATGTCGTTTCGTTACTCACAGCCAGTGAGCATTTCGAATAGAAGAATACCTAAACTCCACCAGTCCGTACTCTTGTGATGTCCAGTGCCTTTGAATAATTCCGGACTGAGATAATCTGGTGTACCACATGTTGTGAAGGTTTTATTTAAGATCTTCTTTGCGAATCCTATGTGACAAAAATAGATCACTCCTACAAGAGCGCCTCTTTCTCTTCACTCACCAAAATCGACAAGTTTAACATGACCTTCTGCATCGAGAAGAATGTTTTCCGGCTTCAAATCACCTAAATGATAAAACCATGCTGGTCGTTTCCTTGCAAAACGCAAGCTACTGAACATACGATAGACGATTTGTAGTGAATGTAAATATTCAAATGCCAACGTGATTTCACTAATGTAAAACAATGATGATTTCAAATCGAATGTACCTCTCTTTCTCATGTATGTAAACAATTCACCGCCAGGTACATAGTCAAGTAGCATGTATAGAAATTGATCCGAATGATGTGTCCAATGTAAACAGATGATAAACGGATGATTGATACCTGATAAAATCTCTTTTTCGCTTTTGACATGTTCGACCTAGCAGACATCATTTTTTTTTTATTCATACGACAAAATTCGTTCTTTTTTCTCTTACTTGACGAGATTGAACGACATGAGTAATTGAAAATATTTTCAATGCATAATATACGGAAGATTCACGATCTTGAGCAACTAAAACTCGTCCATAGGAACCGGTTCCTACCTAAAAATAAGGCAATATTAGCTATTCGCTTCTAGAAAATAGATGAATTTCTCCCGAGACACGTTCTCAATGGGTCTAACTTGTCTACTACAGTTTAACTCAGGTATTCTTTCAGAGAAGTCAGAATTTGAAAGAGAAAACCATGTACATCCGTTTTAATTTTGCTTAGTAGCTTTTCGCAATTAGTTTGACAACACCCATTACTCATAATTACGGACCGAAATTTTCCCTAATCATTCAAAGAGGATTGACGTTGATAAAAATAAGTTTTCTGTCTTCCCACGCTGTATCTTTCAAGCTCGCAGGCAATTCACACCAGGTAAACATAGATTTTAACTAATGAAAACAGGTGATTACTGTTTGACAAGAGGTAATCGAATAAAATAAACCTAATTTTCTTATAGTTCGTCGATTAACAATGGAAATCTAATCCTCCGACTTCCCGACTGAACAGTTCTTCAAAACTTCATTACCGATGAAGTAGAGTCTGTTTCCAGCAGACGAGTTCTGTTCATCTCACTCAATTATTCTCCCAAGAGAATAGATGGAAACGATATTTGATGTTTGTGTTGAAATGTACTTACTGTTTTAAGAATTTCCAGACGATCAAGTGCTTTCTGACGTTCTTCACGCTCTGCTAAAGTAATGTTACTGAACTTGTTTGCTATTAAAGTCGTATCGTTTTCATTGGCTATTGAAGTGTTCAATGCTGGTGAATCTGGTGCATCACTCGATGTACTTGAGGAAATAACATGCCGTGGAGATTTGTTTGTCATTTTTCGGCGAAATCTGAACTAAATAAAAACAAATATAAACAATAATTACCAGACAACGAATGCATTTTCTTAAACTAATTGCTTTATATAAACACTATTTTCCATGCATGTTGTTTTTTCTTCTACTCATCTCAGGAAATTATAGAATTTACTTTCACATATATGACGGTAACGGCAGTAACAGCTATGGATTCGAAGTTTCCTTTCCTCTTTCTCCGGCGCACACCGTCATCACCGCCAGTGCTGTCTAGTGAGGAAAATTTGTGCCGAAGGTGAGACAGCTTGTCACTATTCTGTTTGAATGCAAGTGTTAAAAAAAGAAAACTGAACGTTCGTTGCAGAAGCATGGCACGAGATATGATAAGGATCACAACAAACGACAGATGATGCTGTAAAAGAAAACCAAGAAGACTAGATAGGAAAATAGAGACAAACCGGTACGGCAAAGAAAATGCCATCATTGGAAGGCAAATTAAAATTTTGATTCTACAGAAAGAATATTTTGTTACTCAACGACTGAAATTCATGCATTTAGTTTAAGAAAACAAAAACGATTCTTTGATGTATTCTCATAATATATTGATTATATGGCAAGCTCGATATGTTTACTGATCGTAAACAGAAAATGAATGACCTTTGAAAGTCGACATCATTTTCATGCTAACACCTAAAGATCAAACGATCTTGTTTTCCTTGAAATGGTATTTCTCGGTGCTACTATCGAGTTTTCATCTGGATTTTTATAGTTTGACTGAAACCGAATGAGAAGTAGTGGGCAATGAAGTCGATGCTTTTTTACAAAATAAAAAAGAATACCATAAATGAATTTCCGCTTCGCTGATCTCGAACAGAGTCCGTCTTACTTTAATAACTTTTAAAAAAGTCAAGCAAAATTCAAGTAGCATACAACAATTATGAAATACCTTATTGTATATGCTCATTTTGTCAGTGAAGACGAGATGTGCTGTAGTGCCGACTAGTTTTTGCTTAGTACGATCTATTGTGTTTAGCGTTCCTATCGCGTTTGATTCGCGGAGAATCGGAAAGTACCGAAGAGAAAGTGCTATATCGATTAATTGACAGAAAGAAAAAAGCCTGATAAAAAATGCCAAACTGTCGGAATCGACTTGGTCCTAAGCACCTAACGTGAATTTATCTTTCTTGATCTATTAAGACAATAATAGAATTAATGGGATACACATCATTTGATTTTTGTTGTCATTTTGTCCTTCGAGAGAAATAAAACAGAGTTTATCAGCGATTTCCATCGAGGAAAAACTAAAGCGAGAATCATCTGTTTTCTTTAGATGCATGATATAAATCATTCAAGATGATATTTTCCTTCGGCAATGAAGACAAACACTTACGTACTGGAAAGTGATTCAACATATTTAATAACGGGCTGATATTTTCAATAAGAAAATAAATATTATTATGATTATATATAATATTCTCTCGAAACACGTCATTATAATGATTGTATATGCACTTTTTCTATTCAACTTGCGAAGTCTGAGTCAGACATTTCATTTTCCTATTCCCTACTATTCGCAAATTAATTCCGAAAGGTTAAAAAGTTTGGTTTGTTGACAAGAGAAATTTATTTCAATGGTATTCGCTTGAATAAGCTATTCTTATTTGTCGATGTCGAACGCACATGACTATCGTCATTGATTTCGATCATATGCAAACGCAAACGCTGATTTGTTCTAGTCCTTTACAGGAAAATTTCATCATTTTCCATCTCCGTTACGAGTTTTGTTTTGCATGATAATTTCCGTCATGACATTTTTCATTTTCATCAGACTACTGCGAAGTACAGTTAATCCTAATCGGCTTAGCAAATGCAATTGAAAAAATTATAAAAGAAATATTTAGTTCGTATGTTTGACTCTCAGAGATTTTTTTCACTGAATTGATTATCCTGCAAAAAAAAACAAGGTCAAATCATCATGCTACATGAATTTGCATTTGACCAACTATTTAGACGGCAATTTCCTTCCGTGGAAAAATATATCTCACCCAAAATGGCTATACCAGTCGTTTATCTGCACACAAGTCATTCTTTCTCATACTTTAAGATAATAAGACATCGAAAAAGTACGGTAAAAGTCTATTTAAAGAAGAGTTTTGTGGGGTTTTTATCATTTTGCGAACGTGTAATCTACATAGAGGAGTGATATTGACATAGGAAAGATAATTTCGACATGAGTCGATGGTGGCTAGCAAAAATAACTTCGTTTTTTGTCTGTTTGATAGAAACGCACGGTAATGGTGAATGATCGTTGTGTTTTGCATGACGATACTCTCAACAAACGAGATGTATTCATTGAATTATCAACTGATTCGCGGTCAGATAAACTCATCGACACGAATCAATTCCGTCCATCAGATCTCAATGTTAAATCGTTACCATTACCATCAAATATAATTCATCCAAGTGATTCGATTGCTAAGAAAGACAACAGTGTACAACTGTATAAGACAGTGTTCGTTGCTCGTTGTCCATTCGTCGTCAAAGATGAATATACGTGTGATGAAGGTGACGAGTTCGAGTTAATCAGTCAAACCAGTACTGACGCTTATCATGTTCGTCACTTGCGTACAAATACGAAATGTACAATCGATCAGAAACATTTACTCCTCGATCGTGAAACTCCACTACGCTTGGGTAGTGACGATCGCGGTGTTATTCAGCGATGTTTACTTCAACACAATAAACCAGGTACATATCTGATTCGTCGAAGTCGAAATGAATTGGATTCGTTTGTATTAAGCATTTCTCAAATATCCAGTCAAACGAATGCCGAAGATTGGCATTACTTAATTTGTATCCATCCGAAAACTCGTTGTTTTTACTTTGTACAGGAATCAAAGTTAAATCAAATGTTTTTCCCAACGTTCCAAAAACTTGTACAAAACGAAAAAGTCCGAGAAGTTATTCCATTGACACATGCTATACCGCACCGTATCGAATTTGAAGAAGATCTCTGGCATATTCCGCATCGTCATTTAACAATCCAATACCATATAGGTAATGGTGAATTCGGAGAAGTTTGGCGTGCACTTTGGAAAAACGGAAATCGATCAATACCTGTCGCAGTGAAAAAATTACATAAACGACGACAAGATATCTCAAGCTTAAAGAGTTATAATCAAGAGATAGAAGCAATGAAAACCTTACGAAATAATTATATTGTATCTCTCTTCGGTGTGGCACATGATCTTCAAACAAACGAAATCTTACTCGTAACAGAACTAATGGGAAACGGAGATTTAAAAAATTGGTTAGAAGATAGTATCGACGTCCCAGAAGAGAAACTTGTCATCTCGTTCGCATATGATATCTGTCGTGGAATGACATTTCTTGAACAGCAGTTACGTGTACATCGAGATTTAGCTTGCCGAAATATTTTATTAGGCAACGAAGGTCGAACGGTGAAGATTGCTGATTTTGGTTTATCAACGCGTATTAGTAATGACAATTCGATTCAAAAAAACGAAATTTATTATCAACGATTGCCTATACGATGGACGGCACCTGAAGTTCTTGCCGATCAAAAAGTTTATTCAATTAAATCCGACGTTTGGTCATTCGGAATCGTTTTAATTGAAATTTGGCTAAAAGGTGCTGATCCTTATCCTTATGAGAAAGATTTTTCATCGATTCGTGCACTCGTTCGGGGTGGATATGTCCATAGTAAACCAGCGAAATGCTCGAATCAATTTTACAACCGTTTTATCCTTCCATGTTTATCTTTCGATCCGAAACAACGACCAAACTTCAAAGCATTGGTCGAGTTGTTAAGACAATGGCATCGAGAGAAGGAGTCATATGAACTTTTAAATAGTTCGTATGTTGAATTTTGTTCGTAGTTGACAAAATTGAATAAAATACTAATAAACGAAAACATCTCTTTATTTCCAATCTTTCCTCCGTGCAAATTACTCTGGTCACTTTGACGGTAACCATACATACAGATTTTCCATGTTACAATACTGTCCTTTCGGTGAAAGTAAGAAAATACGTCAGTTGTCATTTACAGAAGTATTTTTTGCTTCCGTTTGCATGATGCGGGATATTTTTTCCTCGCTTTCACATTGTTGTTATGCTCCAGGTATTCATTTTTTCTTGTCATCAATTCATAATCATCTATAGATAGAGAACACAAAAGGCATATGTCAAAATGTGCTATAGAGCTTATTCATATCGAAAAAAAAATGATTTGAAAAACATTTCGAGGTATAGATGAAATACTAACGTGTCTTATAACGAAGCACTTGAGAGGTGTTATTGACTACTTTATCAAAAACAGTAAGTATTCATGCATATGGTTGAAGAGAACTTGCGACCTTTTCCCCACTTTTTGTCTCTTATGTCTATACTACAATTACTAGTATTTCCATGCGAGAGAAAATTACTAGTGTAAGATTAATTGGACTTATTTTCGAAATTCGATTCATGATTATCATATAAGCAATGACGAGGAGACTTGAATTACTAGACCATTAAATAGATATAGATGAGACTCGTTTGTTTGCGTCTCCCACGGTCCGTATCAGTTTCCGTTCAAATGGGATACTACCTAATGCTATTAATATAAAATGACTAAGTACATCGATTTCTGCTCGTACTCTCGAACAGAAAGATGACGACAATAACAACAGCATCTATGATATGTAAAGTTAGTTACAGAAACGCAAGAAGAGCGAGAAAAATCTATATGTTCAAGGAAGAAGAAGATGAAGAAGAAGAAGAAGAAGGCGAGGAAGATCTAGAAAAGTAGAAAATAGCAATCTGGTGCTTTGAGAGAGATCAGACCATTTAACTACATAACCAAGATAACATATTCTTTGTTTTTTCTTTCTTGAGAACTCAAATACACCGTGTCTTTTTGCTTAAGCAATCCTTGACAAGTCATTATTTGTCGCTCACAAAATCAAAACAGCCAGCAGCTGCAAGACTAACGTTCAATTGCTAGTTGCAATTCAACGGAAATGTTTTCGAATCAGAGCACACCATTCTTATCACCGACTATGTACGATGGTCAATATCTGTATCCGTCGTATAGTTGTGATCAATTACTTGCTCCACCATCGTATTACACACATTGTAAGTCGGAACCCAATGTGGCTTGTCACAACAACCAGGTATGTAACAAGGTTCCTTGTAGGAAGACTGACAATTAGAAGACAGCGTGTCGAGGGTTGTTTTCGTTTTGGTACAGTATATGATGCTGAATACTGTTGAACAGCTTGAACATCATTCATTTTTGTCGAATTCACTTAATCTCATCGGAAATTAAAGAAGAAGGCGGATACAAAAGGAAGGTGTTAGTCAAAGAAAGAAGAGATTTGTTAAGGAAATACTACACTACTTCGATGAACACGCATTTCTATATATTTGAACCTTAGCTTTTCCATTATTCACATATGTCTATTAAAAGAATCTTAGGCTCGCCTAACCTGTGTATCAAAATAGAAAATCAATCGAAACAAAATTATTAAATCGAACACTCTTGTCGAGTCGGTAACTCGTTTTGATGAATACTAGATCAATATATACTCAATCAATTCCAACGTGCATATTTTATATTCTTATTACATTAATTTTGATGACGTTTTAGGTTTTCTTTGTATGTTGAGTATTCGTTGCTCGGTCACAGCTATACTTAGTTAACTATGTCCTTTTTTTCATTCTATTCTCTCCTTCCTGCAAATCTAATTGATAACGATAGCATTCGAATAAAAAATTAGGGCAAACGGAAAATCTAGTTCATCCATGTCATCGTTCATCATATCGTGTAACTGATTTTATTAATAGTTCTTTTCTTTTCCGAATACTTTTTTTCACCGAGATGGAAAAGAAATCTAACGCACCAGATGAATACATATATAAAAAAAGGGGAAATATGATGGATTGCAGAAAATAAACTGTCAGATGACAAATGGAGTCGACTGTTCGAGGAACTATATCTTGCTTTTTATCACAGAGTATTTGCATAACTACTGAATAGATAAAACCCAGCAGTATGATTGTGAGATTTTTAATTAAAACAAGAAAGAAAAATATTGCCGTGGAATTTTTATATCGTATGGAGAATACGGCGTCAGATCGTTAATTTGCATAGGCAATCATATGTATATATGTGCAGAGAATCAAGAAAAAACAACAATATCTCTTTATGCTCATCGTTCTGCGGACATGCTCATAATTGGATTGTTGTAAATCGGAAGAAAAGAAACAGCTTCATCCATCCGGTCTAAGAAACTGTAAGTTAGGATCTAGACGTGCGTATATGACAATTTCGATTTATATTGTCAACAATTGATGGCTTTCTTCTTTTATATTGTATTGTCAACTCGAGAACATCTCGTTATAGCAACTGTAAAACACAATCTAAAAGTGTACATCCACTTATGCACGGATGACAACATGTTTTTAATTGTTCTCTTGCAGTGTTTGACTAATTTATCAAACAGAGAAAGCCGAAAAAATGTTTCATAATGTTAGGTCGATATGAACGAAGAAACCATCAAGATTATATGTTTTCTCTCAATGAGCAGTTGAAACAGAACTACGCTCGCCTACATTGAGTTTGTTTTATAAGAACGCGTTCATCAATTGACGCTTTCACACACTAATAACTATCATTTAAACGAAAGTGATGTGAAACATGAGAGAGAAGGAATTATCTAACCAGAAATGAGGGGAAAAGAAGGAAGAACGAAGGAGAGAAAACAGAAAAAATGATTAGAGCTATTTTTCTAGGCTTCTCATCCTTGTTCTTCTCCTTTCTACGCCATGAACTTTCTCCGATTCTTCACCAGTTATAACAATCGGAGAACAGTCATGCTGTGAAACAATATATTTATATGAAACTAAACACAGCAATTGTAAAATTAACCACATAGCTAGATTCGCAATCTCAGTTTCGTCTATAATCATTTGAACAATTATTGTACGTAATTTACTCGCTTATCCTATTCCTGCCGTTTCCTAAAAGCATAGAAATGGATACGCGACGATTGTCTGTTTTCGCCAATTTTGTTGGTTATTCAGATCGTATGGGAGATCTCGATCAAATTAGTGTAAGTATACAATCAATTTACAAAAAGGAAAAAACGTGATTATGCATAAATCAATAGAAGATATCGGATGCATGCGTAATCTTTTCTCAAAATCAATTTAACATTTCCGTGTGGGTATGGCGTAAAAAGAGAAGAAAGAAAAACTATTAAGTCTGTTAGAGAATTTATCTCAGTGACGTTAAATTTAGAATGTCTATTCTTAAAGTGTATAGAATCAGATCGTTCGTGTTGGATAAACCGAAGCAGTTATTTTAAGAAATTAAATGCAAATAATTAAGGTCGTCAAAGGAAAATAGGTTTTACTTATTCAGACTGAAATATTAATAACTTTAATGAGATGGTTAAAGCGTATTCGTGATAATCGTTGTAACTCGCTACTTTCATGAATATATACGTCTTTGAAAAGATTCTCAGGGAACTCCATTGTTACGCAGGCTCATTTGACGTTTTTTTTTCTCTTTCACTGTTAGTCATTTTGTTCTCGAGCGTCATTAGAAAAAATTTTTAACATAATGAGCAGATTATACGATAGCAAAAAATGCATACATGAGAAGCGAGGAGGATTTGTAGTCATTAGACTTTGTTAAAAAATAAGTTCGCATGTCAGAGCAAGGTAAAAGATCAGTCGATTATATTATTCCTTTGATACTATTTTCCGAATCTCGCTCAGCTTCCTGTGCTTGGCTCGTGAGTATCGCGGAAATCTACACGAAAATGAATGGCAAGGGGTATATATTAAAGTTTTGTCAGTTTAAAACTTTTCTTCAGGTGTGCTATATAGTTGAGATGAAATAGGAAGACATGTACTGGTTTGTTGTAAGATGACAGTTCTTTTGACGAAGATTTATTCCCCCCTGAGACATAGGATTAAAGCCATTTCGAATGATATGTTATTTATAGGAAAGAAAGTTATGCTTTCACATATGAATACTCATAATTATTTAGACTGAACAGCGACGTCTTTCCGACGGTCCTCAGCCACTATCATTACGTCGTCCGTATCCCTACAATTATTATCATCACCCAAGTGAATTCGGTGGCAGTGATACGTGCATGTTAAAACGAAAAAATTCGTCATTGAACATGCTTTTGGACTCCACAAGTTCAATGATGCGAACAGCGTCAACAACCTTTCAATGCTTAATTGGTTCAGCTCGCCGTGCTTCATACTGTGGCCAGCCAGATCCAAGTGTACAACTCGCTCCAAACGGCACAAGTGGCTCACTCTATCTACGATCAACAACAGCAAATTCAAACGAATCATCCTTGTCAAATGCCTCCTTCGATGATCAACGACGAGTTGTCACTATTTATGACGGTCGTATTCCCAGTACGCCCACCGCACCGACTATACCGTTTGAACTATTAACACCCCTTGAGGCAATAACGAAAGCCATAGATGATCCTGTGGAATCCTTCGTGCAAATCGTGCTCGAAACTCCCGATGATAAGCCACCCATCATGCCACCTGTTCATAATTCGTTACATCGTACTGGATCACCGTCACGACGTCGACATCGAAGCAGTTCGCCAAATCTGAAGCCCACTAATGAACGTCAAACAAATCACTTAGAAAATCTTAATTTACCGAAACTAACACAACATCAATCAATGCCGAATACGGATTATTTCAACTCGACTCGAGTACATTCCCAAGCGCCTGATACTATTATTCCGATGGATTTTTCTTTTCTTGAGCCGGTGCTACGAGGTGAAAGTGCTGCTCCTCCATCTCGCAATCATTCTCTATCGAAACCCAATTCACGTCAAAATTCTCTTCAGAACAACACAATTACAGACGATTCATCATCAAATCTTCAAACATTACCACATATCACCTATTCATGCCATCGAACGAAAACTAATGCAAATAATATAATCGTACCACCAGATTCACCGTCTGGTGATAATCACAACTATTTTATTCCGCCGTCACCTCGTTTGAAATTTACACCATCGATTGAGTAAAACTGTGTTGATTTTGTTTTGCTTATCTGTTATACTTACATAATTTCCTTTCATAAATAAAAGATTGATTTGGACTTGTTAAATTAAATGATTTGAGCGAGACGAAACTTGCTATTCACGTACTATCACAGATCTTGCGGATCACTTTTGACAACGCGCCTAAAATACAATTACTTAAATTAATATTTATTCAAATTTATTTCCGTGATTTTGTCTCTACACAAAAAAAACTGGCACAAAAGGTTACAATCACGGTTTCCGATGCTTGGATGTTAACAAAACAAATACTCCCAGCAAATAATTTATTCATAAACATGTATCTCTGAAACATCAAGAAAGCACATTCATAGCATATGATTAATTCACTCTGAAAAAGCTTTACACTGCGTATAGCTTTGGTGTCGTTAATATGATTGGCATCATTCCCATGGATTGATGAAGACAATGTCAAATTTGGAAAAAAAATGAAGTTCGTGTTTATTCTGTGTCTGCAGAGAAGATAATGAAAAGGCAACAGAAGAAAGAAGAGCGAAAAAGAAAACATAACAAATATAAAAACGGATGTTAATCAATTGAAATCGATTGAGTTATTTAAGATAATTGTTTTTTTTTGACATCCGTCAAGATAAAAATTTTAACCAATTTGTGCTAAATAGTCTTTGACTTCAGCAGGTGTCAAACGACGGAAACCTTCCTTATCACAAATACCAATTTCGATATTATCTTCAGTCATTTGTCCTTCGAACGATTCTTTCAATGTTAGTATCGCAGTGTGGACGGCATCTTCAAGTGCCAATTGATCAGAATATCTAAATGTGAATATCGTCTTGTTAGAAAACATCTAGGCAAGATATCGAATCGCACCGTTTTTCGAGAAATGTTTTTCCATTCACAAAATTACGACCGATTGCTGTTGCTTTCCATGGAAAATAAGAACCCTAACGGAAAAGTAGAAGAAATAATGAAGGTGAGGAATAAAGAGCATACAGATGGATCACATTGATACAAGAATGGTCGATCTTCATCGTAATCATAACCACAGATAAGTAAGGATACACCAAAAGGACGTACACCACTAGAATGACTCATAAGTGATCACTTCGATAGAAAAAACGAAGTACATACCCGGATTGAGTATATTCTTGCATAACATCAGCAATTCGTTTAACTAATTGTGTTGGTGGTACATTTTCTTCGTAGACAAGCATGTATTCTTGTGCTAGTTTACGTGCTTTCTGAACGAGTAGTCTAAGACAAACAAGTATATTTCCGAATATTTTCTAATAGGCGAAGAAATTTTTTCTTACCTGTAGTCAGGGCCCATGCCACTATAGACAAGGCCCATGTTCTTACAAACGGACTCGACCTTATGAATTGTACGATCGTCATGTAATAAGGATTTGCTTTTTTTCTCTGTCGCTAACACAACTCCATTAGAGGCTTTGATACCAACCGCTGGTGAACCTGCATTGACAGCGTTTAAAGCATATTCAATTTGAACAAGTTTGCCCGATGGACTAAAGGTTGTCAAGGAAAAACCATAACGTTCTGACATGATTATTTTCTATAATAAACAAATCCAAAACAAATAAGATTCAAAATTTTATATGTATATCGTATTCGACGTAGTTTTGATAAATATATATAATGTTCGACTGTGTTACGATCTTATAGTCAAAATTGTATTGCATTTATATTAGATCTACTTGCCGTGGATCATCGTAGGCTAGTACACGGTGATTCAGCAGTCGAGAAATATTATGAATTAGTCGAATTCTGAATCGAAAGACTAACAAACCAACAAAATAGTCGAAGAGCCCTGATTGGTTATATGTTTCATACATCGACTACTTAACTCTTAACAGATGGCGCCTTCTTATAGCTTACACAGCTTTAGTGATATAAAATAGTCTGATAAACTAGCACGATTCCCTGTTTGTGAAATTTGGGCATGGGTTAGACAAAGATAGAGGAGTAGATTTTTTAATTTTCCATTCATTAAATGATGAAATGTCTTCTTGGTTGTGGTTACTTTTTCGTAATTGATGCTTACAAAGCACAATCGAGATTTCAATATACAGAATATTCGCGTTATGGACTCAGGAGGAAAAGTCTAGCCTAGATGCATGAGTACAATCCAGTCCATTTTTCTTTAGATTTAGATTCTCCATAGAGATATTTATGCCACTAAAATAGTAGTATAAGCGGTTGACAAAATATATTAGTACAAGCAAAAGATTAGTGTTTGAATGATTTATTCATTTTGAAGGATTCTTGAAAAAAATTGCATCCTTCGCAAACTATCCACAACCTCAGTTATCTTTGCTAGTTTCAGTTACGCTTTTTAACTTATTTATTTCATAGCATAATTAATGCACACTTACTACATTCTTTTCACTGTAATTAAATTTGGTTCTATATCATCTGAACGTACATTAAGGATAAATAAGCGAAAAATAGAGATAGTCAATTGGATTACTCTCTGTAATATGGTTCACCAAACGAGCACGTATGAGACAAAAAATGAAATATTTATTCGTTAAATTATCTCAATTGTTATAAGGGTCTATATTAATATATACTTTTTAACAGCGAATATTATTTCCTCTATTGATAATTTTTTAGAATCTATGAAGAAAGTTCTTTCATAATCAAACAACAATGAGAGGCTATCTCATACCAAAAGAGATACTTGATGAATATTGGTCGAATTTATCCATGTGTTCTATTACGCAGCAGTCGTTCGAAAATAGACAACATGAATATTTTGTTTTAATATATTTTAAGCAAGATTTTCTGAAAAGAAAAATTAGATTTATTTGAATGAAGAACAATTTGTTTCATATTTGACTGTACCCAAATTTAGAAGCTCGAGAATCAGGATTGTTCCGCATTTATTATGAAGACCTATTTAAAAGAAGTTTCCATGAACTGTCGATCGAATAAAAGTTCTTATTATTATTAACTTACGATAATCTCTAGTAGAAACAGCGTCATAATCGTCAGCTATCTTTTCATCTTTTTTATTATTAGCAATAGTAATCCCACTGATCATGCCGACTATAGGAACAATTGAACATGAGTTATGTATATATATTTGTGAAAGATAACAGCAGAAGAAAGAATAGAAGTGTGAAAAACTAGATGAGAAAGATTCGGATGGCGAGGCCGTAGCAATAGGTAGCAGGAAAAATACAATTTGATCAGCGAACCATTCTGCCAACTTGAAGAGAATAAATAGCGGTGTTAAGCAATTGCAACAAGAGCAGCAAGTTATGCTCATATAAATTTTCTCTTGTTTGTAACTTTTTTTCATTTTCTATTCTATAACCACGGTTTTTGCTAATGCATTTCGTTCTCCTTGTTTTTATATCGCTTCGTCTGGAATTTAGCCAGTATATCTTTTAATTTCTCACTTTGCTTTACAATTCGCCGTTCCAATTCGTATTTTAACTCAATAACAGATATCTTATCAGAATCAGATCTTACCGTAAGTTATTACTCATACTCTCGTACTGGTACCCACTTTACTAGCCACAGACCCACGAACTTCTTCAGTTTCTTGATAAGCATGCCACCTAATATTACTCCAGCTGTAATTGTGATAAAAATCTCTCCACGAGTAATGAGAACGAGGTCCATCAACTAAATGATTTTTTCTATTTCTTTTGCTTTCAAGCGCTCGACCAGACTTGATATCACGATTCACCCGCACAATAAGACAGACATTCTTGCTCAAGAAAGTCTATAAACTTATGTGCTTAAAGGAAAAAGGTCTCATAAGGGTGACAAATTGCTTTATTATAATCTTCAAAGTAGATTCACCCTATCACTTGATGAAACTCGCTTAATTAATTCCATAATAGATCTTTTTATTCTTCTGTGTTCTAAAGAAGAGAATGAATCCAGTCACGTTACGACTAATAATGTTTGTAAGTTGCGCATTTCAATAGCATTTGAATCCAACTCCTCTGTTTTGCTTAAATTGATTTGAAGCCGATTGAACGGTGGCACACAACATTCTAAAAACGGTTCACATCAATGAATTAAATAATTTAACGGCATTCATCGATCTTGCATTTTACCAGACTCAGTAACTTCTCAAGCTGGGGCTATTGTGAGGGGATGGAAGAATGGCTACAGATGGTGTATATCACTCTCCCATATATGGTCGTTTGTATAGTCGAAAATGAACGTAGTACCAATATACAAACAAAAAGCACGTAGATAGCTTAATTGGGATGTATTTTTTGGACACGCAAAAGAGTGGCGCCATCTATAAAACATAAAGTCACGTAACTTTGCATCTATTTGGTGATTTCGAAGCTCTTTTACTTTTTTGTTTTCATTGATAAAAATTAGTAAACGCTAGAAAAAAAAACTCTCGAGAATGATTCATAATCACGCTCGGCGTCATTTATGAGTCAGAATATAAACTGACAAATACATTGAAAGTGTAGGTTACATATACATATCGGTTATTTCTCGAATGAGTTGCTGTTTGTTTGACACTCGCTATTTAGATCTCGACATCTAATGTCCAAGTGGAGTTACGTTTTACAGTCCTTGTTTCTGGTTCAGGAACTGTTCGTTACGTTATAAGTAAAGAAAAATCTATGAATCATTTCGAAATCATAACAGTCGAAAACAACTTGTCAGTAGAAACAAAACAAGTTCTACTATGTTCACATCTTTCTTTTCTACGATTGACTATTATGTGGTTCATCTTTTCTATCTATTTCAGATTTACTCTTCTATCCATAAGATTTGTCAATTTACAAACAATAAAGAACAACTGTAACCATGTCGGGTGTGTTGTGCATATTGAAATGAAATTTATACTAATCTTTAATTTTCATAGATAAATTGGCGTTTCAGTTTAAAATGCAGACAAAAATGCTTGAGCGACAAGCAGCGACTCATGACAAGCAAGAAAAAGTCGAACGTGACAAAGTCAAGAAAGCTTTAATGAAAGGCAATATCGAAGCTGCGAAGATTCATGCCGAAAATGCCATACGGCACCATAGTGAATCGTTGAATTGTAAACGGATGGCTGCTCGCGTTGATGGTGTACAAGCACGTGTTGCTAATTCGGCAGCCCAACGACAAGTAAATATCGTTTTTCTCGATCGTAGAGATTTCATTTGAACGATTTGAAATTTTTAGATGGCAGCAAGTCTTAAACAGACAGTGTCACTGATGTCGAAAGTCACTGCGAACATGCCATTAACTGAAACATCCAAATTAATGGATAGTTTGGAGAAAAATTTCGAAGATCTTGAAGTTAAAACAAAAGTTATGGATGATGCTATGCAAAATGCTACAAGTGTACAACAACCAGTTGACCAAGTTACTAATCTAATGCAAGAAATGGCTGACGAAGCTGGCATTGAATTGAATCTTAATATTCCTGCGGCGCCAGCAATGGGCACTTCGGTCGCTCTCAAAGAACAAGTAAGACACAGCATTAATTTCATGACATATTCAATATATTTTTTGTGTCTAGGATGAGCTCAGCCAACGATTAGCAAAATTGCGTGAAACTTAAATTCTATATAAATGTATCAAAACATTCAAAAAAAGGGACAAACTCGAATAACTCTCGGTGATGTCACACGAAAAAAAAATTCAACTTAGTTGCATTATTTCTTTATCTTTTCTTTTTCATTCTTACTAATACAAGCTCTCCATATGTATATAAAATCCACAAAAAATTCTGTGCGTGCATGCATGATGATTTGTTTTTTTCTACATCAAGATTTCCTATGTATTTAAATAGCGATTAACTATGTATATTCAATAATGAATCAATGTCAAACATAAGATCAACAAATACTTTTTCTTTTTTTTTCTCTGCCTCTTCAACTTCGATTGAGGTTGTCTGAAAACGAAAAACAAAATGCGTACTTCTTAGAGTCTTTTATATACATACACATCGAGAACGGATATTGCTTCGTCTTGAATCAATATGGATTCGTAACACATGATGTGATCTCGATATAACGAAAGAAGAAAGCTGTTTCGTGTAGTAACAAGCTGAATTCATATAGTGTTTTTTTTCTGCTTTTTATCGAAAATACGCGTTTGATATTTATATATAACACAGCTGTCTCACTTTCACATACATAACGAAGTATTGAAGAAAGTATATAATCAAGAATCAGATGAAAATTTACGAATGAAACAACAACGTAAGCATGATTAGTAGTAATGTTGATGATGAGGATTATGTTGATCAACTGAGCCGAGTCGTGCCATGGCATCGAGCATTTACATTCTATGAACGAACTTTGATTGTTGTTCTTGTTATTACGTTCTTATCTTTTGTTGGTTGTATACTGTTATATCTTATACATTGGCGGTCTCGTTCACGACGACAGTATGGTTCAAAAACAAAATTCAGTACCTGTTTATGATGGTTAAAATAATTTTTAATATTTGTTTGATGTAGGCAATGGACTATGCATGGAAAAGACATTGGTATTGTCTGAATTACCGAGTTATGAATCTGCTGTTCGAACTAGTAATGTCATTGCTTTGAATAAACCAACAAAA